ACAAGCGAAAAAGAATAATCTGTGCACATAGTATTAGTAGAGTTTATCAGTGAAGTCAATAAAAATGTTTTAAAAAATTGTATGTCGTAAAGGATATCTTTGTATACAGGATGACGAAAAACGTCTGCACCTTATAGAAATTTTTTTGATAAAACTTTTTAAGTAACATTTTTCTCTATTTAAAAATAAGGGTTTTTTATTATCAAGTTAAATTCATATTTTTTTACCTACATGATTCAAATTTTTTAGTATGTAAGAGATTTATAGTAGGTTTTAGGTCTTGTACTTACTTTTATCAAGAAAAAATAAATTTTTCTGATAAACAGTCAAAACATTTTCTATAAGGTGCAAACTTTTTTTCGTCACACTATATACAAAATTGTCTTTTACGACATACGAATTTTTTTTTATTTCTGATCCATTTCACTGATAATCTCAAGTAGAATTCTAACTAGGACTTATATACACGAATTATGTCTTTTCGCTTGTAGCCACGCCTGGCCTTTTACTGTTAGACCCGTCGGATGTCAGGCTGTTCATATTTGGTGATATATATTTTTTTATTGCAGATTAATTATGTAAATTTACTGACAGTTGTTCAAAATTATCGCATCGCTCTAGCTAAGAGATACAAAGCTGTGGTACGATAATTTTGAACGCTGTACCTATCTAGGTATAAAGTATAAGAAATACGTAAATAAGGTACCTAATAAATAATATATAAGCATTACTTTAATATATAAATACAAAAGAACAACAGTTATATAAACTTATAAATAACTATAGTTAAATAAAACTACGATACTGACAAAAAATATCATAGTTACGTATGTGTACAAATAGTGTAATTTTGTTTGAAATGTTCTCGAAATACACAAAATATCTTCTTTGCCCAGGGGGTAACATTCTCTTTAGTACGGCATTCCTTTTATCTTTCAATACGGATTTCATTTCTTCGTCTAAAAATATTTCTTGATCATCGGAATCCATATCTAAATCTTCCAGCTCGCACCTTCTGTATTTCCTAAATTTATTCTGTTCCTTCTTAGTCCAAGTTACTAATATTTTTATAATCTAACTACATCAACAATTTGATCATCAATTGTGTCGAACAACGAATACATTTTGTCTTATAGTTGATGGGAAAAGAGTCCTTTTTAACGCTCCATCAATTGTACTTTTTGATATACTTCAATTTGCAATAAAATTTCGTCTTCTTGTTCACGTAGCTGACCGTATCGCACGAATAGAATTTAATATATTTGTGGTAGTAATATAAAAAAGAGAGTCCAGGTAATGAAAAAATTGGTTCAATTTTCTGAGCGTATGCATTGTCGACTACTGTAGATTTCTATGTCGGCGAACTATTTTCTTCTCGTTGTAGATTTTTTATATACGAATCTATTCTTTGATCTTCGCTGTAAGTAGTATTATAAAAGGACGATGTTTCAGTCCTATCTGTAGTCACGCCTGGCCTTTTACTGCTAGACCCGTCGGATATGTCAGGCTGTTCATATTTCTCTTCTGTTAAATTCATATTTTTTTACCTCTTTCGTATATGGTTCATTTTTAATATGTATCAGGGTTGTAGTGAGTTGTAGATCATGTACTAAAAAAGTTTTCTACAAAGTGCAGACATTTTTCGACACCTTGAAGGCGTCTTGGTACCTTTGAGGGCCTATTATCTACCAAACACAAACGTTATTATCTACTATAATGTGCATAGACATAAAAAATCTTAACCTTCATACTATAACGTAGGTCTGATGGTCGCTGGCTCTTAGTACTGCTTATTTATAGGCAGAATATTTTTAAAATCTTCAACCCATTTTATAAATTCGGTAAATATTTATTCAAATTTACATATTAAATAAGAGTAATAAGGAATGTAATAAACAATATGTTAGCAACAAAGAGAAACATGCTTCAATATCCTTTTTATCATGTTCCTTCTTAGCTGTGGACCTACGATAAAGCAAGTTGATACTCTACTGGTTGCTGAATAAATAAAAAAATATTTTACCAGGACCCGCAGCAGGTGATTTTTTTGTACTGTTTGTTTACAATGTGTTAATTTTTTTATATTTGTGTTGTTTTTAGATAAATATGTTATAATAGCATTCTTGTTTTTTATGTTAATAGAAACAATAGAAAAATACAAAAAATAACGCTATTCGACAATTTTTATAGTAGCTTTGGACATTGGTTGGTAGCAAGATTATTTGAGCTCTAGATTTATTTCTAGTTTTCTCCGGCAGAAATTAAAATGTTAACATGTAACTAAAACGTATATGTCAAAATCAATGACAGAATGATTTTTGATTGGCGTATTTAAAAGGCATTGTGCCGTTTGTGTGGTCTTTTGCGACTGTCAAAAATTGTGTATAAATCACATCAATGTCAAAATGCAAATTTTTTAAGATCGGTTGTAGATAAACGAACAACTTTGAAACAAAATTAAAAAACTAAAACAGCACATGATTTTAAATTAAAAAGAAATTAAAAACTACAATATAAATTCGAGACTTATTGAATTTCAAATGGTTTTATAAGGTCATTTCTACAAAAAAAAATAATGAAACGTTTTACTTAATTTGCAAATTTGTATTTTAATATTAAAAATTAGTTTTTAGGTTGTTTGTCACGACGCTAAATTAAGTACTTGAAATAAATTTTTCCATTTACAACGATACCAATTTTGACGTATTATTTCCTGAAATTAGCACAGAAATGAAATGTTCTGTGTGAAATAGAGTAGAAGAAAAAGATGTTTTTATTATGAATTTGACACTAGTTAACTTGACGGCAACCAAATACAACAATGCTATTAAAAATCACGAAAGGGAAAAACAATTACACCTACAAAGTCAAACAAGTGAAATTTATCCAAGGCGATGATGCAATGTCGCTAACCAAAAACAAAATGGTACAGAAAAGCCCTTGTGTCAACTGTCAACTTTTTCTGAGAAAAAACTTATGCACTACATTTCGACGCATTTTTAGTATTAAATTTATTATAAAATATAATAAGTTCTAATTGATTAATTAATTTTTTAGTAACTAAATTTAGTACTGAATTTGCTGTTTACAGCGTGATTTATTTTAGAACTTAAAAAATGTAATTAATTTGGTTCTAAATTTAGTTCTCCATTTAGTTAAAAATAAATTAGCAGATTGTTACGTTCTGATTGTATGAGTAGTCAGTTTTATAAAGTTTGGGGCGATATATATCGATAACTTCAGTGATTTGAAAATCTCTGCAGTTGGGAGTCATCAATATTCCACACTACTTACTCCGATAATTTAAACATACATTTTTTTTCAAAAACAAATCACCTAAGAGAATAACAATGATGCGATACAGCTCTTGTTCTTGGCCATCATATTAGAGATATTAGTGAAAAGCTATTGCAAATAAATAAACATCGATATTCCATAAGATACAATAATAAATATAAATGTGTTAAAAATCCAAGGTACATATTTCGAATCATTGTTGACTAAAATCACCGTTTCACCGGTTCCTCGAAAATAACCCCTATCTCTCAACACTAGTTTCATGTCCTTCACTTAATTACTCATAAATTTCAAATCAAGTAATTTAGGAAAATATGCAATAATGCTATAATATCCTGAGTGAACCGCATCTTAGGTAAAAAGGTTGAACTTAGCTTGTCTTGATATTTTTTTTTTTTTTTTTTTTTTTTTGAAATCGAGCATAAAATACTGTCACCATTCTAGAATAGAAGAGGTTTTCCAATCCAAAATAAATAATTCTTTACTCGAGTTGCAATATTATTTTAATTTATTGTCTGTGGAACATAAAAAGGAATCCTTTAGTGGGGTAAATGGTGAGAAATTCTGCACCTGTGAAGCAAATTTTTCATTTGTTTCTCCTTCTAGGTTCCTTATTGTTCTATGAATGGCAAATTTGAATAAAATATTTACGGAATCTTTAGAATCTATAGAACTCTTCGATCTTTATGAATTTATATTACCATTCATGCATACAGTCTAAGCCAAAAAGTTTTCAACATGAGAAATTCAAGTATTATCCATTTATAAAAAAAAAATATTGCAATTTGGTACTTTGTCCAAAACCTATTAATCATTGTTCAACAGTTATTTATAATTACCTAGAATAGATAAATAAATTTTATAGAAATATGCAAATAATTGAAACATACTGGGCTTCCAAACAGGAGGATTGAAAGAGGTGGGCTTATTGCATAGCTTCCACGTAGCCCAGAGATGACCTAGCTTGATTTGTTAAAATTCTTAATTTCTTTACAACTAGCAATAAATATATAGATACTCACAAATTTTGAAAAACACAAAACTAGTGAAAAAAGATCAACATTTTTAAGATTTATGTATTCATAGAGGTATTATACAGCACTGCTAAGACAAAAGTCATATCTACAAAAATTTGATATCTGCATTAGAAACACTTAATACACTTAATAAAAACATTCATTTTGTAGAGAAGACCTCTTTTCTTAGCAGGGCAGTATAATAATTAAATTTTTCTGGGTGTCAAAATCAAAAATTACTTCTTCATTGAAGACATTGTATAGGTTTGAACAGTGATTAATGAATATTAGATCAACCATCAAATGTTCACAAGAATATTTGTTTGTGAAAGGAAATAATAAAAAAAGTTTCTCCCGTTTTTGCTAACACTATCATATTAATAAAAAAAATATATATATAACTAACAAATTGCATATTTTGTTATTAAAACTATTATAATAATATAATTTTCTAGGCAGCAGTCGTTTTAAAGAAATAAATCATCAAATACCTTATTTTAAAATAGGAACAAAATAAATTTTCATACAGAACTGGAATAAGCAGTAAATATTCAGTACTCTTATTACTACTGCTCATTCTAATGCTGCAATCTGTAAAATTTAAGCTTAATAATTCAGTCCTTTTATCATTCAAGTCTAATTACACAATTATTAGTCCTTGTTTTCAAACTAACATTCGCGAAAACATCAATGCTCTTTCTTTTCTTTCCGTTTCCTTTTTCTCTTCTTATCGCTCTGCAAATCTTCGTTTTTCCGCGCTAAACAAGGCTTACAGTACCAGTTCTCATTTTCATCTGGCGGTACCTGAATGCCAACGCACACCCAATGATACCATGCATCGCAACCGTCACACCCAATCATAGGTCTACCATCATCTTGTTGGCCGCAAGATGGACAAATCCAGACTTCATTGCCTTGGTCGTCAATCTTCTTAAACGCTTGCTGTTCTATCTTTTTTGGTTTTGGAGTGACTTTAGGTTTGAGAGGATGCAATCGTGGACGACCTGGAGTTCGAGGAGCAGGAGCTGGTGCTGGAGCTAGAGGTTCCTCAATTACTTGTTTTTCAACTGGAGGAAGGGGGGATGCCGTTTTAGTTTTAGGGGGACCAGTCACAAGTGGAGAGAATTTCGCAAGACCTCCCGGCGAAGGGTCCCGTTTTTTGTCTTCTATTATTATATCATCATCTTTCTTAACAATAGGTTTAATATTTAATTTTCTGTTTGCCTCAGGAGTTTCGGGTCTAGGTGAGGGAGAATTGACTTTGAGGAGAATTTTAGGAATTGCTGGATTTTCCAATACTTTTTCCTCTTTTTCAGCCTTATCTTTCTTTTTTATCTTCTTTTCCCTTTTCACTTTTTCTTTACCCTCTTTTTTCGGTTCTTTGAGTTTTTTCTTTTCGCCTTTCTCTTTAACTTTATCTTTTTTGTTCTTCTTCTTAATTTTATCTTTATCTTTCTTTTCTTTCTTATGTTCTTTAATTTTCTTTGGCGTGATATCCATAGGCGTAGGGGTCTTCGGTGGTACAATTGACGTACTAGAGCTGGTTTCTGGTACTTGTATGGGTTGTTGTTGTTGTTGTTGTGGTGGTTGTTGTTGTGGTGGTGGTTGTTGTTGTTGTTGTGGCTGCTGAGGAGGTGGTTGTGGGATAATCTCAACAGGCTTAATCTCAACTGGTGGTAATTCTTTTGGTTCCTTTGATTTGGGTGGTGTGGCGGGAATAGCTTCCATTTGAGGTGGCAAATTAGGAATCCCTGGGGGAAAGTAAGGGTTTTTTCCAAAATTCGGTAAACCACCTAAATGTGGAAAAGAAAACATAGGATTTAAATGGGATGGAATCAAACCGGGACCTCCAAAATTAGGCAAAAATGGGAAGGGCATATGAGGCAGTCCCATATGAGGTGGCATTTGTGGTCTCATATGATTCAGGTGTGGCTCTGGAGTTTTAGGTCTGTTAACAATTATGTCTACCAATTCAGATTGTGTGAAAATCGGATGATGCTGTGACTTTCGTGGTCTTTTGACTTTGTTTTTATTTTCTTTTCGTTTTTTCTTTTCTTTCTGTAGTGGAGGACTTTGATGTAACATTATTTCCGGTGTTCTTGGAGTAGAAGGAGTACCAGGAGGAGAACAATCATCAAAGTAGTGTGGGCTTCTTCTGTTTGGTATTGGTTCAATGGTGATATCACTAGAAAGATTAATTTTATTGACAATGTCCGTAGATTCATCTATAATCATGTTAGGAGTACCAGCCCTAGATTCCTTTTTTTTAATTTCTTTAACACTTGATATTTTTCTCAGAATGTTGATTTTCTGCCTATCAGGTTCATTATATAATTTTTCTACTTGTTGAATACTCATTGATGACATCAGTGAATTTTGATTCGATTTAATGGGTATGGGAGTTATAGTGGTATTAAATTTTTCAGTTTTAGCTTTAGCAGCCGCAAGAGCTTTATCGGGATTATCCCGGCCCATCTTTTGGGGTAAAACAGGACTAACCTTTATTTCGCTTAAGCGAGGAGGTTGGAAAAATGGCAACGGCAGTTGAGAAGGTAAGTTCGGATTTAAAGCAGCATTAACAGCTGCTGCTGCAGCGGCTGCCTTCTGTTTCATCTTCACTACATCTTTCATACTAGCATTTTTCTTTACAGCTTTTTCTTCAGTCATAGCTTTAAATAATTCCTTATTAATCTTTTTCTCCCGTTTTTCCGATTTCTTTTTAACTATGGGAGGTTGTTCTAGGGGAGGTGCAACAGGCGGTGTGGGAAGAGGAGCTGGTGCCGGTGGAGGAGGAGGAGGAGGCTCAACAGGTGCTGGAGGTAAAGGGGCTTTGGCTTCCGGAAGTTTTCCTTCGCGGGCAGGTGAGAGGAAGCCGGAAGTTGTCATCATTACACTACTAATTTCTCGGGTTGGTCGACCGCCCTCATCTTCACGTTTTAAACGTCTGAACTCAGGGGACACATCTGCTGGTTTCTTAAACTGGGGAACACTAAGAGTAGGCGTATCGTTGACTATTTCCTCTTTTACTATTTCTTTTTCTTCTACTTTTATTTCTGATTCTAGAAGAAAAAATATTTCTCAACTTGGGTCCATACTTTGTCAAGGATATTAAGTTATAGCAAAGAATAGTAACCAAACACAACTAAGTCTAAAAATTATGGAATACACTAAGAGACAATAATTTACTACTAGCCACTCTTATGTTATTATGTTGAGTATGGGATATTAATACAGTGTGACCTAAATTACTTATTACTAGTCCCTTTTTTATCCTTTCAGGCATCCCTCTGCCTTCCCCTGAGGGGTTCCGGCAGATCCCCCAATCAGGCTTGGGTCCAGGGCTTCCCTCAATCAGGCTTGGGGCCCAGCCTGCTCTTCCTTCTCTTGGAGTTCGCATGGTGGCACTGAAGCGCAGTTAGCTTATTGTGCCACCATTTGGGTGCCCTACTTCCCATGTGTTCGCTCATGCATGCTTCCATTCATTCTATGGTACAAGTAGGCTCTGAGCTGTACGAATTAGGTCACTCACTCAAGCCATAACAGGACCTCACTGCAGGGGACTTGCGATCGATGTTTTGAACACCTTTCACAGCACCCACAGATTAAATCGAGAGCTAATTGAAACTTTAACATGGACAAGTATATACAGTATGTCTACTTAAGTTAACCATATGGAAAACTTTTTTGTTATTGGTTTTGTGAAAACAATATTCTTAATAAAAAGTTCTGCATGGTCCAAAACTTAAAATGCAACCATCATATATCAATTTTTTTTAAGCCGTATACGAGGTTTGTCAAATAATATGATTTTTGCTGAAGAGTAAAGTACCTTTATTTTTGACAAACTTCGTATACGACGGCGACAAAAAAAATATATATTTTTTTAATTAATTAAATATGGTCTTACTTAAAAAATGTTTATTTATTAATGCTAGCCAATACAAAAAAAATTAGCACATAAAAATAAGTTTTAGCCGGGCCCCAAACGATTAAACATCTAAATACAAGTACCATATCGAAACAGCACTGTAATTATAATGCAACAGGAAATCTGCCGGCCGGCGGCGTTAAAACGAAGGTAACGTCGAGAGGTACATTAAAATAAATAACGGTTAACAGACTTTACAGATGAAAATACAGAAATACTAATTCTAGGCATGGGAGCCGCCACACGAGGCCGTCTGCCGCCCCGCCAAATTTGTGATTCTCGCCATGTTTTCCACTATAGCCTGCGGCGTTTTGACACTGCCTATAAGACTTGCTCCCCCTGGAATTTTTTTGAACTGCACCCATGGCTCTAGGTGCCGATACCCCCTCGTGGTGAGTTCTGGGTAAATTTGATATTTATCTTGACGAAAGAATACTCTTTATTTTATTATTTATTTAAATGTTCGCGCATTGAGCCGAGTGTGCCTGAGTGTGGGATCCACTTCTCCCCGAACGCTGTTGAAGCAAGAAGTGCTGTATGTTGTTTACCCGCTAAATTATCTTGAAATTAGTGCTCAAGATTCAAAGATTCCCCCTAGCTCTACTGCATTCGACACCAAGGTAAGACGTGCATTCATAATAAGATCACAATCAATGTTTACATTCGGGAAAAGAATTTTTTTATATCTCCATTTGGAGAATATATTAGTTACTCTAAAAATATCAAATTTAGCGAAGGGCTGCAAAAACAAAATGTCAATATAATTATTTTTCAATTTTCATAGATAGTGGGGCCCAGTTAAATATTTTCCAAATGACTCAAAAATTATAGGGAATAATATTCAGCATGAGAAGGGCCAGAAAATCACTAAGTTGTTAGTTTTTTATTGTTTTTTGTCAACTTTTTAAGGCCCCGAAATCGAAGTACAGGTCTTTTTTTTTTTGTTAATATTGTAAGGTTATAATACAACTTTTTTCACAGTAAGGTGTTTTGAGATTCCTAAAAAAAGTTTTTTTCAAACTATTTCGGCCCACGCTGATGCACATACAGATTTCTTCTGAGTGAAATTCAGAATATTAGTTTTTGACTTATTTTTTGTTCCTATAAATAAAATAAGTTTTACCTGTTTCAAGAAGAGGAAACATGGGAGGCATGTGCTCATGGATATGTACAGGCCTAGTTACAACTTCCTGGCTACCTGGTTTTAGAAAATTCAAATTATTCTCCTTGGCTATTGGAAATTTCGGAGCTGGTTGGGCCGGTGGGCAAAAATTCACATATGTTACATATTCATCCAGTTCTGCTATATTAATTCCCATTTCCTATAGAGGTACAAAAGTGCCATATAGCAATACAAAGGACATATAATTTTAAGCCTAATTTAATTACTTACCCGAAAGGCTAGGCCCAGATGATCAAGATTTGGTTCTGTGTTTCCAAATTCAGTGGCATATTCATTTGTTAGCTGACATATTTGCTTTAAATGGGTAACAAGAAGATCAGTCAAGACCTCCAATGGTGTGGAATTGATTGTATGCCAACCAATGGTCTGCAAAATTTTGGCCATTGCAATTTTGCAATGGTCCCGAGCAAAAGAATTACTCATGATTAACTTTATACTGTAAATCTGTAAAAATCGACTTCAATATCTACAGACTTTTTCTTGTGAAATTTATAAGATGAAGTTAAATCATAAGATAACTCTGCTAAAACTTCAGCTTTTACTCCTAAAGATTCAGCTTGTTTTAAGACAAATTTTCTATAAAATATAAAAAAAGGTTTAGATATTTAATATATCTACATATACATATTATAAAGAAAAGCAAATATACCTTGTAGACGTTTTGTGTAGAGAATAAACTGTATTGGTAGATAAACTTATTGCTACTTCTAAAAATTTCATATCAATACCAGCATTATGTTTTGTCCCAAATGGAGGATTCATCAAAACTGTATCAAAACATTTATGAAACCTGAAAAAAAATGTATGTTTTTAAAACAGGTATTTAAGTAACTAGATTAATAATAATTCGAGAGATGCTAAAATGGTGGTTCCCACCTTATCGAGACTGAGGCCCACAAGGGTAAACTCGTAGCGTAAAAACGAGAAATGATTTAACTTGGAACGAAAGACCGAAAGCCGATAGTAGTATTAAGACGTTGAATTTTTTGGTTTGTGAAGCATTGGCATTACTTAGGTATAACCATGTGATGATTTTCACAAGCCTTGATTTTTAAAACCATTCTATATTGCTTTTGATTCGGGTTTACAAACTTGTTCAAGCAATTTATCCAATAATAATTGGCCCCTTTGCCTCTTAAGCCTGCTCATGTAAAATATTTGGGCTCCTTACTTCGCCTATTTATCTAAAAATATTTGGTCCCTTTTAAATATGCCCTTAGATCTGTTAATGTAAAAATATTTGCGCCTTGTCGCTTAAGCGTTCCTACGTATAAAAATTTAAAATGGTTTTAAAAAAGCGGCAACATCTTTTTTCATTTTGAAAAATTTATTAATACTAATTCTTTGGGTAGTGCATTTATCATACTGATAGTTTAAAAATAGTAGTGTTGGACGACTACTGATGTATTTTTTTACATATTTTTCATTAAAAATTTTCGAGTTGTTTTTGTCTTGGTTTTGGAAAAATTTACTAAAAAAGCTAATCGGTCTTGTAAATCATTAATTTTCATGCAATTCATCTCATTAGCTGGACAAGCTTCCATTATGCCTAATATTAAAGAATTTAAGAAATAAATACCTTATTGTAATATATGAAGAAAAACATTAATCAATAGACTTTTATCGTCTGATGCTTACTAAAAAAATTGATTCAAGGTCTTGTATATCACTAATTTTCATGAAATACATCTCATTAGCCCGACAAGCACCCGTTATTCTAAAAGAAGTACGTCAAAATTTTACCCTCAACATTTCTGTGCTGTTTTCAATAAGGGCGTTCAATTATTTAAAAAATAAAACACAATTTACAAATTTTATTGTTTTGTTGTTAAACGTAATGTCAAATGTGAAATGTCACTATTCATCGCCTATTTTTCGTTTTTTTTTTTTTCGATTTTTGGTTCTTTCGATTTGGATTTTTTGATTTGAATTTTTCGATTTTTTGAATTTTCGATTTTTCGTTAGTGGGTCGTAGAAAAAATATACTGTGCAACTCGAGTGGATTGTTGCACAAACTACTAATTTTCTAGCTTATCTACGCCCAGACTACAAAACGAAAAAGTATGCTATTGCGTTCAACTGAACGAATATATTTTATATCCATTCTAGGTAGTGAGAACACTGCAAAAAAATATAATCCACCAATCAGAATTCATATTTTGGACACCTAACTACCTACTAATATTTTTTTCTACACCCACATGGATATTACCTTATCTATGTACAGATTACAAAACGAAAAAGTATGCTATTGCGTTCAACTGAACTAATATATTTCATATCCATTCTAGGTAGTGAGAACACTGCAAAAAAATGAAATCCGCCAATCACCGTTCATATTTTGATCAACCGACTGCTATTATTTTTAAAATTTTAAATAAGTGACAATTCTGTCAAACTAATTGTCAGTATATTTTTAAGTTCATTTCTTTTTTTATTTCGTCTATAAGTATAAATAATTTGTTAATTTAAATAAAACTATATTAAGTCAATTTAATTACGAGTAATAAAGCAACAAAAATAAAAGAGTAGGTGGTCTTGTGGTTAGCGTTCTTGATTGGAGTTCGATTCTCGGATGGGGAAAAATTAAATTTATTTTTTTTTCGTTTATTTTATTTTAAAAATTATTAAAAGTCATAAATTATTTTAAAATTAGTTATTTTGTCTTAATAACCTAAAGTATTTCTTTTATTTGTAACTTTTCGTTAGTGGGTCGTAGAAAAAATATACTGTACAACTCGAGTGGATTGTTCACATCACACTCAGACGATTTCGTCTTCCTGCGATATGGCCATCATACCCACTCTGTTGCACAAACTACTATTTCAATAGAGGTTAGAAACGAACGTGTTTTTTTCTCGTGTCGTTAACAATGTGGGACGAAAAACACGAGCATATCCACTCTTGTTGCACAAACTACTATTTTCTACACCCACACGGATATTAGCTTATCTACGCACAGACTACAAAACAAAAAAGTATGTCATTGCGTTCAACTGAACGAATATATTTCATATCCATTCTAGATAAATCTGCAAAAAAATGAAATCCACCAATTACAGTTCATATTTTGGACACCCAACTACTATTATTTTTATAATTTTAAATAAGGTGTATGGTTGCAACTATGAAAGTCGCAACCCCCATTAGAAATCTCACCTTTACAATCAGCAGCTGTTGTTTGACAGGTCGTTGGAGAATGTTTGCAATGTATGGAATGTTAGGAATGTGAGACGTTAGGAATGATTGATGGGTAAAATTTGTCACATAAGAAATGCATGGGAGGATTTTAAGAAAATTAATATTAAAGTAGTTAGGATGAACCAAAAATATTGAAAATCAATAGGGTTCTAAGTTAGAAGCAATTATTCAAGTCAATCAGAACTTTCTTTCTCGAGTTATCGTGCCGGCATACATACACACACACGACCAGACGAACATTTTTTTGCATTTTCGGACTCAAAATGATCGGAAACGTGAAAAAAAGTTTAAAAAAATGGGGGTAAGAAAATTTTTTCGTCTGCACGAATTCAATACTAAGGCCCCATAGGAAGGGCCTCAGTAATAATTGTCCTTTATTGAACTGAATATTCAGTCCAATAGGCTATCGACCGACGTCCTTCTGCCTATTGTGCTGTATATAATTAATTGTGGTCATATTTTATATCATAAAAAACATGATTTGAATATTAAGAAAATCGGTAAAGTATTTTACCCAGAACTTCCCTCAAAATAGAAATTGTAACGAACGTGACGAAGAACACCATAAGCGGACACGGAGAGTTCAGGTCGGATTAAGAGGAAAATCAAAAAACTCTTTTTCACAGTTATTGAACGATAATGATTGGCTGCTTTTAAAGTGGTCTAGTTGCACAAACCAAAGGGACGTTTTTTATTATTTACATCAAGGGGGGCCTTTTTTGATTAAATACAATTCAACGCCATTTTGAAGTTTTTTAAAACTTATTTGAAATTTGTTATTTTTGACTTCTAAAATTCTCAGATACCAATTTTAGTCGAAATCTGCCGACTTTTAAGAATAATTAATTTTTTTAAAACTGCTCACCCTATATAATTGACCGCAAGTATAACTGGTTTCGAGCCAGGAAGGTACATTATCTGTATACAAAATTTGAAATTTTTCTCTAAAGCCGTTTCTGAGTTATCGTGCCAACAGACAGACAGACTGGCGGAATAAGAAACATGTTTTTTCGTAATCTAAGGACCCTGAAACGTGAAAATTTTAAATAATCTCGGAGGGTGACTTTTTCACGATTACAATAGTAATAATAATAATTTGCTTATTAATAGGAGAAATTCATTGTATTGTATATTAGAGTTTTATAATCCAGAATTCTAAGAATTTCAACAGTTTCTCGGCATTAACTTACTTATATTTTAGGTTATTTAGAACAAAATTAGAATATTCATCAATAATATGATATCCTATCATTATTCAGACATTATTGAGAAAATAATAATAATAATAATAATAAATGATTTAATGCTTTCATAAATACAAATTAACAATAATGTAAATACACAAAAAAAATATATGTATTAGGTACCTGAAAGCAAGAGGCGGCGTTCGCACTCAAACATTATGCCGATAGAGAATAATTAGTGAGCAGCGCTCTTCCACACAACCTTGGACAATAAATAAGTTTATATTACTGTAAACTTATAAGCCATGGAATACAATATCCGCTAAATTTCCTTGATTAACTAAATTATTAAACTAATCTAGCCACAAAATTACCCTAAATCTAATGAACTAAAATTTGTATGTGAAGATAATTTAAATTTTTTTTTTTTTTTATTTTGTTTATTTTTTTTTTGTTTTTTTTTTTTTAATCACGTAATTAATTTTTCCATTAAATATGTGAAGTCTGACGATTTTCTTGAAACGGGAAAGAGGCGAGGTATTGAACAATTGAGGAGCCATATTGTGAAGTTTGGCTATAAGAGAAGCACAATTTGAATAAAGAAGTATTGTGTTTAGGGATTGTTAAGATTATTTTTGAATCGTACATTAATGTTGTGGACCTCTGATCTTTTTTTTTATTTTTTCATGAAGGTAGTTTGGTTTTTCGTTAGTAAATTTTTTTGAAACTGAACAAAAGCATGTAGCAGTCTTCTGTTGTTTAGATTTAGCCAGCCTAAATCGATCATATAATTAGAAGTTAGAATACGGCGCCGAATAACACAAGTTAACCTTATGCAGGCATTTTGAATATGCTGTAATCAATTTTTATTAAATTGGGTTAATGCTGGGCCATATATTATGTCTCCATAATTAAATTGAGACAAGACTAAACTTTCACACACTATATTTTTTGTATTTTTGTTTAAAATATCACGATTAGAATAGATTAATTTTAAATTACAAAAACACATTTTAATAATAAAGTCAACATGCTGGGAAAAATGCAAATCTTCGTCTATAAGAATACCTAAGTTTTTTTTCACAATTGCATATTTGCATATTATTTTTAATAGTGTTTCTGGATTTCTTGCGACCGAATACCATAGCTTTTGATTTTGTGGGGTTTATTGATAGGCAAAATTTCTTCGATAGTTCAGATAAGTTTTCAAGGTCTCTGTTGATTTGCAAGGCGGCTAAATCGGCGTCTGATTCCTTAAATTCGAGGTAAAGCTGGATGTCGTCAGCATAAAAGTGAGATTTCATATTAGTGATGTAATTATGAAATTGTGATGTGTACAAAGAAAATAGAAGAGGGCCCAATATTTACCCTTGTGGTACACCTCGAGTAGTTTGTAATACATTAGATTTACTTTGTTCCAAGTGGACCCGCTGGATTCTGCTTTTTAAATACGATGATAACAACTTTAAAGAAGAATTACCAAAACCTAGATAGTGACAGACAGCTATTAACAAAGAATGATTAATTGTATCAAAGACTTTTGAATAATCTAACAATACCAATACACACAATTTATTGGCATCAATGCAATTAGAGATATCGTCCAGAACTTTAAGTAATGCAGTAAAACAACTATAGTTTGGGCGAAATCCTGATTGATGCTTAGGTAAAAGGTCAAATTCAAAAATATTCTTAAAATTCTTATGGATTTTATGATCAAAATAGTTGTCATTGTTGTACATCTAATAATAAGGATTGGCACAGTAGATATTGTAAAGAAATAGGGATAATGGAGACCCTTGATGCAAGCCTTGTTCAGGTGTAAATTGGTTTGACAGGTAGTTCCACACATAGAAAAATTAAAGGAGGTTTGAATTATAGGCGGGAAATGTTTCTTTATTTATAGTTCCCCAGAAGCGGTTAGCGAGCTGCAAGCACTAAATATAAAGCCGTTTTACACCCATAAAAAAGATGTTTTCAAAAAAAATAATAAAGAAATCAATAATTTTACTTTAATACAATGTATGGTCAAATGCAGGAATAATCGTTAATAAATGTAAAGTTAAATTTAAATGTTATGAGATAAGATAAAAATATGTCAGTTTATTTTCATGGAAAATGTAGGTGATTAAAATTAAGTTAATAATATAGTTTAAGTTAGATTTAAGTAACTTATTGATTGTGAAATGTGTGAAACCAATTTATGAACAGATATTGTAGAACCTCATAGTTTTGCTTATTTGAAGGAACATAAGAAAGGGGCTTCGATTTATTCTCAAAAAGAAATTTTTAAATTTTTGGGTACTATTCATGATTATATTTATCAAATACTACCCAAATATGGTCATATAGACATTGTTCAAAAACTAATATTATAATATTATATTTACATCAACTTGTTAATTGTGTATGCTTCACCTCTAAAGATCATTTAATTACATGGTTTTTTTTTATCATTTTAATTTTGTGTACCTTTTATTGTAAGAAAATATGTTTTAAACATTTAACAAACTGTTCTCGGTTAATTTTTTATTTTAAAATACACCTGTGCCTTTATTTTTGTTTTAGATATTCTTAAGTATGGAGATTTTTGGAAAGACATTACAATCATTACAACTACGCTAGATAGAAATAGATGCGCATAGGAAAAAATATTAGAATTAGAATGTTTTTTCCATGTAGCAAATATTTGTTTTTATAGAAAATAAATTCAACATTTAAGTGCGAACAAGTTAAACATAAAGAAAATAAAGACTGTCACAAAAACTTCAAGTGACCGTTTCCTTTTCAGTCCTGTTTGACAACATGTAGGTACAGGTTCCTATTATAATTTGGTATTAAATTTTAATCAAGTTCAATGTACATAAATAGATATTACCTTTCTTTGTTAAATTGATTGTAAATATTAACTACTAGTCTTTTGTAATTCTTATGTTTTTATGAAAATTATATTCAGTTTTTTAAATATAAATAGATTGTTACGTGATGTAGTGCTTATATTATGAATGTTTGATTATAAAATAAGGGAACTCATAATAATGTAATGACATAGTAGTTATTCTAAATAAATAAAATTTATTAAAAATGTTTTGTTTTTTTACTATTTTAAACAAGTGACAGTTTCCTTTTCTCAACATTTACCTACAACAAGAATGCAGTAAACTTATTATTTGTTCTAGTTGTAAGTAAAAGTTGTAAAATAGGAAAATGTGACCTCAAATATCATAAATTAAAGAGCCCACCACTTTTTAAATCTCTTTAATTAGTAGTGTCCTACTTTATCGACTGTTACCGACGGGATTAGTTCCCCAGAAGCGGTTAGCTCGCTACTGTCGAGGTCAAGCAAACTTGTTACCAACTATGTACAGGAAAAACGGTTATCCTGGTTCCACACTTTTTTTATGGTCAGTTTTCTGTTCTTCTTCCATTTAATTTAGTAGTTTATATGTTGTTCTGTAGAATTGGGAGGGGATGTAGAGTAGATCGCCCATTTCTGAACCCAAACTGGTATCCAGGGATCTGGTCTTCAGTAATTTGTGCAATTTTCTCTTTGATAATTTTTTTAAATTTTTTAGCTGGATTGGTAGTAGGGTTTTTGGTACGGTAGCTGCTTTTTTTGGAGTGGTCTTGTCTGGGCTAAGAATACTTATGTTAAATTGAAATAATAAGTATGAACAACAAAAAAAAGAAGTGTAGTGGGACATTGAAAAAATTAATTACACGAAAAATTCTTCAATGCTATACAGACATTTTTCTATTAGGTACTATTTCAGTTTGATTTTAAATAAGCTATAAGTCACTATGTTTTTAACTTTTTAGGGTGTCATTTTTTACTACAAGGAATATCTCTTATTTACGATTGGAAAAGAGAATTCTTCAAATAACTAGTCTTAGCAGTATTTTTTTAGGCAACCCAATTGCAGTATATATTTACAAACAAATTTATTTAATAAAAAATAACTTTCATCTGGTATACAGATGGGTGAAGGTCGACCTTACTTCATATCGAGTACTATTTATATTCATTTAACTAGATGATATAGATAGAATGGAAAATCTAAAAAAGGTAAATTAAAGAAATAAATTATATTTTTTGTTATTGACTTATATGAACAGAACAATTTTTTTATTTACTTTGATAGAAAATAACAAAAATCTACAGTCAAAATTATTTTAAAATGTAAGAAAATAGTAACAATAAAAAATAGGCTAATATAAATTAAGATGCAATCTTAAAAAATCAGCTCTAATTAAATGTCTGAGCAAAAATACAAAAACAACATAAGTTGTCATCTTATGAGGCAATGAATGCAAAAATTTAAAAAGGTTTACTAATCTAATGGTTAATGCAACTTGTGTGATTTTTGCACACAAGATGTAACAAGACTTTTCATGACATAAACCTAATTTTGTCACATGCTGACTTATGTGGTTTTTGAAATTACGGATTATATTATTTTTAGGCTGTGTATAGGATTGCAGCACCATAAGTGGAAAGAAAAACAGTTTCTGGTTACACATGCACCACAGTAAGCAGATAAAAATAATGGTGCATTTCTCATAACAATTATACCATAGTAATGGATAATGCCTCAAAAAATTATATAATAATGAAAAACCTTCCAAAGAAATGTAATGTGCTATTGAAGCAGTTAATAAATAAGCTCTATAAATGCATATTATATTTTACACTGTGGCATTTGCTATAAATGTTATTTTAATCCATTAAACAAAAATACAATTTTGTCAGGAAATAAAACATTTTATCTCTCTTGTAATGTAAAAGAATTTCTTCACATACAAAAATGAAAATCTAATGGGATATTTTATGTTTAGTACCTACTTTTTTATAAAAAAAAACTATTTTTACTTTACCTTGAAGGTAGACCTTTTAAAATATCACACTGCACAAGATCAATGTTAGTTAACTCTTGCTCTTCGATGTTCTCTTGACAAATTCCTATTGCGTCTTTATCAACTTCAAAACCAACAACAAAAGAAGCATCTAATACTCCTGCACCAATTGTTAGGGCTCCACAACCACTACCCAGGTCAGCCACTAATTTACCAGAGATATCACCATATTGTGACTAAAATAAACATAGATGATAATAATTATAGGTACATAAATCATTTAGTAAAGTAACATATATCAAAATTTAACCTATAAATAACAATATGACAGATTGTCATCTCCAAAAATTTGTACAAGCACAATGAATATGAGTGTAATTGCATCCCCATTTGATAATGAAAATAAAATAAACGAAAGTCTCCCTCAATTCATAGTAAAATATGTCATAATAAATAATTTAATTAATATTGGTCCCAACTTTTTACAACCTTCATGAATTGGATGAACATGTCAAACCATTTGTAACAAGAATTAGTAGCATAACTATGTAAATTTTCTTCAATAACAATGCAATTACAAAAGTATAAGAAAATACCTCCATATACTGCAAGTTTTAATTAGGAAAATAAAATAATCATACCAAAGTGCTTAAAGGTTAAGAGTTTATCACACTTTTTCAAATTAATATTCAAAAACACATGCATCATTTGACTTGGGCATTAATACCTGAACTGTAAATAACATGTGAGAGCCCAAATGAGGTGGAGTAATGTACTGTTCTAATAATATTTTAGGTTTTTGAAACCCTGAAATGCACTGTAATCGTTCTTCAAGGTGCCTAAGTTTTAAGCAGGGATACATTAGGGCTTCGCGTCAAAGCGTGGTAATACTGGGAGTATCAAGTTGCCAAATGAAGAGTCCTGGCTTATAAAATAACCAGTAGATTGAGTATTAGCTGTTTGTAAAGCACTTCTTTGAAGAGAATTCATTGAATGCCCATCTGATGCTTGAACAGTTGTAGGTCCAAATCCAAGTACTGGTAGTGCAGAAGAATTTAATGTAGATGCAACTCCTTGTTTGAGAAGTAATTGTTTCTTTTTTTGTAGTTCTTCCAAAATTTTACGATTCTCTAGTTCTGGAAAAAAGGAAAATATGAGCTTTGTAAGTAATAAATAGTGTAGAACTTACCTCTCTGAGCGTTTGGTTGTGGAAAAGCCATCAAAATCCAATAGCAGAAACTACAAATATTTAAAGATTCTCCGTTCTTCAGCCATTAAAGAAAAATATGCACAAAATATGTTTGCAACACTGACCTGACACCTGACATTATTAGTGACATTTGACAATTGTTGCCGCGGCGATTTTTAAAATCGTACATAGTTTTTTTGGAAAATGTACTGAATTGGGAAAAAATTTCTGATTATAAAATTTTATAGTAGAACCAATGAAATGAACCGGAGTGGGGTAGAATGCTTGTCAATAGGCTTGAGATGCGACTCTATGGGCAAATACAGGTTATTTTTCATCTCACTCGGGAGTATTTATAACAACTATTTTCTATTTCACTTTGTTATTGTCTGATCCACCAGCATGTGGATTGAACAATAACAAAGTGAAACAGAAAATGGTTATTATAAATACTCCCGAGTGAGATGAGAAATAAAAATGGCTGCGCCCATAGAGTCGCATATTGTTCTATTGATACAATATGCACATTGGCTTTCTACCCCACTCCAGTTTATTGAGTAGAACCATAGACATCATAATCTAAGATAGACCAGTGAACTGTATACTTTACAGTTCAGTGAGATAGACTCGCCCTTCACACCTGGGACCCTATTCTTAAGTTGCAGGACGTGTGTCTTTTTTTCCACCGGTTTGTTGCAACCGTTGGTTCACCGATGCGGCCTTGAACGTTTTGTGTTGGATTCTGGTTGACCGTTGAAATAAATAACAGTTGACATACCGCACCGATGCCAACGTTGCTGCAACAGTTGGATAAAAAGACACACGTTACGGCATTCCAACGACCTGTCAAACTGCTGACAAGTGGGAACCAATGAACTGGAGTGGGGTAGAAAGCCAATGTGCATATTGTATCTGCGACTCTATGGGCGCAGCCATTTTTATTTCTCATCTCACTCGGGAGTATTTATAATAACCATTTTCTGTTTCACATTGTTATTGTTCAATCCACAAGCTGGAGGATCAGACAATAACAAAGTGAAATAGAAAATGGTTGTTATAAATACTCCCGAATGAGATGGTCTTCGCCCATAAAGTCGCATCTCAAGCCTATTGACAAGCATTCTACTCCACTCCAGTTCATTGGTGGGAACTGACATTTAAATATGGCAAACCTGTGAGCCTGTTGTCATTGACAGGGTCAATGACCTATATATTTATATAGATTACTCAAAGCGGGTCGTTTGCGAGGGGCCATATTGCCTAGCAAAAATGTGTTTACAAACCAATATTTAGCCTTTGAATATAGTAGAGAAAAAAATTACCTACATTTTTACTTTAAGATATAAGTTTAATATTATTTTGAAAAATATGAATGATCAATCTATATAACTATATATCATTACCCTGTCAATTTACCACAAGGTTGCCATATCATAACCAAATCATAACCTGTCAAAATCCACTGGTAGACATTTTGTTTAGAATGTCTAATTGTTGGGTTCTCCTTTTTCTATGGGTCTTCCTTTTGTTCCGTTTGTTGTGTTCGTGTTCTTTTTGCTCTTTAATTACCACACTTCACAATTCAAAAAATCTGGTACATTTTTTGGAATCTGGTACATTTTTTAAACAAATCTAGTACATAACAAAAATATATTCTGGCAACACTGGTGAAAAGGTTAGGTATATATACTGGGGCAAAGATGAAAAGAAGAAAAAATAAAAATAATGAATGAATTATTTTATTAATAATAATATATAAAGTTTAATTGAACAGTTTTACAGTAACGTAAGTAGTTATAATATAATAACAATATATTTTAAATAAACAAAAATTATCTATTCTTGATCTATTAATTTAGGCATTGCACTAAAATGCTAATTATATTCAAACAATACATAAGAAAGATTTTTTTCATAATTACTTTTATAGAATTATCTGAAATCAATGTCTGCAAGCAACAGTATAAAAAAACCACAAAGCAGCAGTTCCAATGACAATAATTCAAATGAAAAGGGATCTCCAGATAAGGTAAAATGCACTTTTTATGCTTCATAAACCTAATTAAATGTATCACAATAAACACCTTGAAAAAATTAATTTGTGTAGGACTATAAGGAATATGCGGGAATTGGACCAGATATTATAAGAAGCTATGCTGAACAGGCAATGTTTGAAACACATTTGACTGAAGATGTTTGTAATACTTTGAGTGAAGATATCAATTATAAACTTCGTTATATAATACATGTAAGTAATATGTACACTTTAAGTTGGTAGGTAATTTTTAGAGAAAAATCTATAGATCTGTACTTAATACAGTAATTTTGCATAAATGAGGTCCAAAAAAAATTCATGATTTATATTTTCCAGGAAGCTTTGTTAAAAGCTAGACTATGTGGAAGAGATTCAATCTCATCAAGAGACATTGAAGAATCTTTTAGCAATTTATCTATTGAAAAAGTGTATGGGGCACCAACAAATCCAAACTGGGTGCCATTTTCTGATAGTAACCAGACATTTTATTATTTAGATGTAAATATAATTTGCTTTTTTTTTAATATGCCAAACTGTTTTTAACTTATTTCTTTCCAATTATTTAAAATAAGTCTTATGACAAAGGTTCTAAATGAATTTTAGGATAATCTTGTGAATCTCATAGAGATGACAGAAGAGGAAAACTCTTATGTTCAGTATGGTGATGTAGAAATAACAAATAAATGGTATCCTGATTCAGATCCGAATAATTCAGCACTGAAAAATTATTTTACAGTAGCCTGCCAGTCTGTGATAAGTGGAGATGAGGAACTAAGGAACATGGTATTAAAAGATATAAGTGAAAATCCTCAAGTAGGACCAATTGCTCAGTGGTTTTATCACTTTGGATATTTCTTGCTCATGAAGAATATAACTTATGATTCTCTTACTTTAAGGGCTTTAGATTTAATAGAAATTTTAGAAAACAGTCCTTTAAGCAGTGCTAGTGTTTCCCCTAAGCAGCTTAAGCTCTTGGTTAGGTTACTACTGCAAAGGTTTGTAACAATGATACAATACAATATCTTTATTTACCTGAGAAAATATTACATTTTATGGCTCGTCAAATTACAATTAAAATTATATATATATATATATATATATATATATATATATATATATATATATATATATATATATAATAAAATTTACCTAAATATAAAATTGAAATTTACAAACATTTACAACAGATAGTTCACAACATAGTTCACTGAATCACTCAGAGGCCACAGTGACAGCCTCCATCCTCCATCTGTATTGATTTAAATTCCTCTAAACTATATAGGCAATTATTGGATAACATTTGTTTTAATGCATGTTTAAATTTATCTATAGGCTGATTTCTAAAATTATATATTTATTTGTCCTTTCCAGTCTATACTGGATATGGACTAAGTTATCTTTGTGCCTTGTATTATAGTTATGGATATCTGAGTGGGAAAAAATGTGTTAATATTATTTTTTAGGAATAGAAGGTTTTGATAGATTATTACTGCATAGAGTGTCATAATTTTCTGTATTCTGTTCTGGGAATACTGGTCTAGAACTGGCTTGCCAAGAAGCACCTGTTATGGCTCTTATGGCTGATTTTTGCAAAATAATCTTGATATGTGTGTCAGCAGCATTGCCCCAACATATTGTCCCGTATGTCAAATGACTATGAAATAGAGCATAGTAAGCAGTAATTGCTGCATATTGACCACATATTTGGCTATTTTCCTGATAGCAAAAACTGCTCCTGATAATTTGGAACAAAGTGCTTCAATATGATCTGTCCATCTGAGATGTGGATCAATTTGAATGCCAAGTGTTTTAACAGAATTGTTATTAACTTGTTCACTATTTATTGTAAATAATTGGGAGATAGTTTTTGTGTAATTTAAAAACAGGTCGTTTACAGAAAACCATCTCTTTGTCTGAATCATGACATAAGAGTAAACTTGATCATGATCTGTTCCTCTTTTAGTATTAATACAAAAAGAAGTATCATCAGCAACTATAAATGTGATAAGGTTTTCAAAATGCATATGGTCAGAAAGATCATTAATGTATATCAAAAAGAGTAATGGACCTAAAATTGAGCCCTGAGGGACACCTCTCCTGATATGCATCAATGAACTTTTGCAATTTTCGATGATGACTGTTTGACATCTGTCAGTTAAATATGTCATACTTCTCCAGTTTTGATAATAGAATTGAATGATTAAAGGGTAATCTTATAGTTGAAGGGTCTGGAAATGCACCTGTTCTCACAATTCCCGTTCCGGCTAGTTCTGACAGTTGAAATCGTTACATATAGTTGCAAGGTTAATATTTAATTATTTGGAACCAGGGAATAAGCATATTGAAATAACTATTTTACTTTTAATCATCTATTTACCAATTTTTACATTGATTAAAAATCCCATAAAAATAAAAAAAATATTCTAAAGATTTTTAAGTAATACGATCGTTATTTTCAACGTCAATAATACCTTTCAATGGTGATAAATTACAAAATTCAAATTTGTGTCAAATTCTAGATGTCTGTACAGAGTGGTGTGAATATGCGCATTTCTAGACCTGTCAACTACAAGATTAAAGTTATTATCTAAAGCTTTTCTTTCAAAATTTAGATTTAATCCATATTATTTAGGATAATGTAATATATTCTATGTGCACCTATTACTTTTTAGGTTATTGCTAACATATTCTTCCCCAGATGTATTAAAGAGATTATGTTTCACATTATCTATATTATGTCTCAGACAATCTCTCAAAGAAATGGCAATTGCAAAGATTAACCAAAAATTAGATGCAGTTGCAAACAATGCCATACTTTCTATTGTTACAACCATTTACTATTTGGGAATTGAAGCTATCAGAGAAATTTTTATACCACAAATTACCTTTTTTCTTGATAGAGTTGCTGCTGAAAGTAACATGGATTTGGTGTACTTTATACTAGTAAGTCTTCTTAATTGATATTTTACCAAAACATTTTTTTTTTTAATTTGTAGGTACTGTTTTAAGTATTTAATTTATTTTTTGGCTGGAAACCCTAATGTCATTGTTAATTACATGCTTAAAATGTATTAAATTTAAATTATTCATGGGTATATATTAAAGTTAAATATAAAAAAACTGGAAATATAAATATAATCACAAGAAATGATGACGAAATATAGTTATGAAAAGTTTACAATTTTATCTATATTTATTTACTATTAAAATGTCAAATTCAACTATGTGCAAAGTTTTGAAGTGGTTACTAATAAACAGAGCCCATGTCTTAACAGGTCATTCCAAGTATGAACTTTACTTCATCAAAACATTTCTTGATATATTTTTTTTTAATTTCTGTGTATTTTGATAAACAGAGCTCGGAATTATATCATTGATGACCACAAATTAGGGTAGTCAGAGACAATTGTAGATATTCAAATAAAATACTAAAATTATCAAATTATTATGTATAATTTTAGCACAAATGTTTGCACATGTGAGATGTTCTAAATCCAAATCTGTTATTTACTTCATGACCTATTAACATACGGGCTTTACTAATAAATAAAAAATCACTCATGGTAATTATTCAATGTACAGTCTGGAACATCAAAGATAGGCTATGGGAGAGTTAAATGACAACATAGTCTAGTGAATCGTTCGACTTATTATGATGGAAACTGAAGAGACTAGCTGCGAGATTAGTGTGCATTCACATTCTCCCAACAGTTGAGCCGTGATCTCTCGTGGATGGGTGACCACTGGAACATTCCACCATGGGACTAGGGTTTGGAATGAATGAGGGAGTGAATTGGTGAATGGGAAAGTAGTAGGACCTTGGTGGTAGAAAACGCCCCTTGCTGCAGTGCCGCCAGACTACAGACGGATCAGGCTGAAAAAATACTGTGATGCAATGTTGTCATTACTGTTGGTTTTCGAGTGACTGTTCAATCAGATTTGCCATTATCTGTGCTGACATACTGCTATACCTAACTTTCAATGTTTCAGACTATATTCATAATTATATTTACATTTTAGGCTATTTATGGTCTTATTTGTAAGGCCGAGCCTGGCGAAACATATGTTCACAATTGGTTCGATATACTAATACCAAATGAGTTAGTTATTTATTGGCACCCGTTAAAATATGAAAATATTGGTAAGTAAATATTTATTTTAATGCAACAAATAAATAAATTATTATGTAAAGAACACAGATGATTTTCAAGTTTTTTTTTTAGAGATTATCATTCATCTGTAAATAGTAAGCATTTGAACATTTCTATTAGGTCCCCTCAGGTTTATATTATATGATCCCTCTTCTTCACTGCTTACTGTAAGCTTTTTGGACACCTACCTAATAACCCTCACAAATAAACTATTTTTAGTAATTTTGTAAATGTATTAAGAAACCTAGCAACTGGTTAAGTTAAAGGGCAATTAAATAACTAACGTATTGGTTGTGTAATCTGAAACTGTTCCTACTTTTGATGTGGTCAGTTGTAAAGGGTAACTTTTACATAAGAACAGATAACTTTTTTGGCAAATTTGAATTAAGATATATGTATTATTGTTAATACTTAGTAAAAGTCACTAAGAATTAACAATAAAAGCCCTTAATCACCCTTCACCAAGTTTCTGGCCTTGGGTGACAAAACCACCTTCCCCAAGATATACACTAACTAACCAACAGGAATGTTCCACAGATGGTTAGCGGATACATACCATACTCTCAAAGCAAGCAATAAACATAAGTGTACAAGATGTGAATATAAGAGAGAATGCAAGTAGCTCTCAAAATTATAGAACAGTGGTGCAAGGACCATTCACTGTCTATCAATCCTAAGAACACAGAAATTGTCCTTTTCACAAAGAAAAGGATGAAAATGGAATTAAACCTCCAGAGCTCCTAAACACAAAACAACACTTTGCAACAGAGGTGAAGTACCTAGGTCTCACCGTTGACAGCAAGTTAAAATGGAACTCATACTTAGAAAACAGAGTCAAAAGAGCATACATTGCTTATGAACAATGCCCCGAACCGTGGGGCGCGCCTGGGTTTTCTCCCCCAGAGTCGTCACATGGACTTACACAGCCATCATAAGACCTATGCTAACAAACGGTGCAGTTGTCTGGGTACCGAAAACCCAAAAATTGACAGCTATCCGCAAACTAGAACAAATTCAAAGAACAGTATGTCTCAACATAACAGGGGCCATGAAAACCACACCTACCAGAGTCATGGAAGTCATTCTTAGTCTCACTCCCCTTGATATTTACATCAAGGAGGTTGCTCTGATGAGAATGACACACCTCCGCATGATTGGAATAGAACCTGATGTAGGATCTGGCGAGGAGAGACATCATTTTTGGCAGGAGGCGGTCGATACGCTCTTACTACTTCAAGCGAACATGGACTCGATCTCACCGAGATAATATATCTTCCATAAGCCATATAAAGTTATAACAAAACAAATAGAAGAGGCGTAAGTGGCAGGTACATTTCATATCTACACTGACGGTTCTAAAATAAAACAAGACTCAGGATGTGAAATATACTCCGGATCCTTAAACCTAAACATAAAATGGGCTGTGAGAAATAGTACCAGTGTAGTTCAAACCGATCTCATAAGTATTCTCATAGCAGCAAAAGAAATCACCAAAAACAATATCACTGGACGAAACATGCTCATCTATACAAATAGCAGACAAGCACTACGCACCCTGAACAAACCACGAATTTATTCAGGGTTAGTACTAGAATGTCACGAAGCTTTGTTCGAAGTATCCATCAACAATGTGGTCACCTTAAGATGAATCAAAGGTCACGCCACATGGAAAGGTAACCGTCTTACTGATTCCCTAGCTAAGAAAGCAGCCAATCAAATACTTTTTGGACCTGGCCCTTCTATTGTATTGACCAATACGGTAAACATGGGGCTTAACAAGCAGAAAGCATGGAACTTATATCTGCATAGAACCAAAGGCTAATAAGTTAATATAATTAATGCAGAAATAATTCAATGATCCAAAAATCTAGTCATAATGAAATCTCAATTATCTTAATACTATTTTGAACTTTTATTTCTCATATTTTGCGAATTACTTGATTTCTGTTTTCCCTACCAATGTAATGTAAAAACTACATTAATATTATTTTGTGTTTGTTGAAAGCGTTACATGAATTTAGCTGATTTAAAACATTAAATTAAAATATTTTTTAGAAACAGAGAAACTAGACATAAATTTTGTAGCCGTAAAATCTAAGCTAATCAAAATGAGGCGGAAAGTAGCTTACCCGACAGGAAGAAACTGCAGATTTAAAATGGAGGAAGTTTTTACATTACCTTCCATCAACTGTAAAATAAAACGAAAACTCGATCAGTTTAGGACAGGAATGAAGGTTTATAAAAAACAAACTCACATTACAGTTGGTAAAACAAGTTTACTCTTGTCAGTATTAAATAGTAATAACAAAAATAAGTTACACAAATGTTGTGATCATTCCATGTTATCCTATAATCTATAATAAATTATTATTTTTTAATATGAACAGTTTTATTTAACGAGACGTGTGTGAGATTGTTAAGTTCATTTAATATATCTGAAAATAAAAAAATACATTTGTGTAAAAGATTTCAATTCAATTTCCTTTTTTTTTTTTATTAGTTTCTAAAGTGATACTTACCCGACATTTGAAGTTTAGTACTAGTCTTATTAGAATTTATAAATGTTCTATTTCGAAGGTGTACTAGTTTCAAAGATGACATTAGTTTGGTACCTAAAAAGTTCAGAATGAAATGGTTACTTAACAATACCTTCTATCGCAGAAAGAATCTTGATTCATACTTTTAGTGCTAGCCCGATTCATTATCAATTCTGAATTTGTACTACTCTGTATTCCAGGCATATCATAAGCGGTTCAGAACCAATAATGAATAGAATTAGTTTTACTGCAAACGCAGTATTAGAAACAGCATGCAAAAAGTTACTATTAATTCAGAATCAGTTCAGGATTCTTACCGCGAACGAAGCTAATATGTATGTAGTTGTTTTGTTGATATAATGTACCATTCACATAGCTGCTATTATCACCTTGATTGTGCATTTTAAAGGTTCCATTTTTAATTTCTGTCCTGTATAGAATACTGCGATCTTTTAAAATTTGTTGTCCTCTAGCAACAATATAATCTAAATTTGTTGAGTGGTCTGTAACTGGAGATTTATCACCATAACACTTTTCTACAAAAGAGTATTGCATTGTTCACAAAACTTGTTTACCTCCTTTGTTAATTGTAGACTAAATTGCAAAATATCAATGAAAGATTTACCTTTTATTGAAACACTTTGATTTTCATCTATGAAGCAGTTCCATAAATATTTTATTGATTTTAAAAGAATTTTACACCTTTTTAATATCCTCATGTAGCTAGTTTTTTTCTGAGGTAGAATATCATATGCCGACTGAACTTCATGAAGAACTGGAATTAAAAATGTGACTATATTTTTTATATAAATATAACTGAGCCTCTTTTATTATAAACCCGTTTCATTAACCATTTTGATATAATAACCTCAAATTATAAAATAAATGGCACTTCATAGGTCACTGCATTCATGTAGTTATAATTTAAAATTGTTTCTTATTTTACTATTTATTTATTATAACTGTTCCGTTTTAGCAGGGACAGGTTGGTCCTGGGTAAAAGAAATGTCCCCTCTTGCTTTCAGGTACCTAATACATATATTTTTTGTGTAATTACATTATTGTTAATTTGTATTTATGAGAGCAATAAAATCATTTATTATTATTATTATTACATGCCCATTTAAGTTATAGTCAAATGTAGTTGGAAGTAGGTGGGAACGATAAAAACGCATGATATGGCATTTATTGACATTCAAGTACATGCCATTTAAAGAACACCATTCTGATAAATTATCGAGGTCAGACTGAAGTCTACCAACATCATCATGTTTTAACAATTTGGAAAAATTTTAGGCCTTTTGCAAATAATAAAGCTTTGCTGTTATGGAAACAATTATATCATTAATAAATAAGTTAAATAGTAAGGGTCCTAGAGGAGACTCCTGAGGAACACCTGAGGTTACTTAAAATAAGTAAGAATAGTGGTGATTAGCTCTAACCATTTGAGTTCTATTAGTAATCCAATCCATTGCAGTAATACCCCACTCAGATCATATTTGTTAAGGTTTTGAAGTAAGGGAGTATGATTAACCCTGTCAAAACCTTTGGAAAAGTCAGTATAGACAGAATCGATTTGTAAACCTTTTTCCAAGGCTACTGACAAGATGTCTATATAAGTGACTAAATTTACCTCTGTTGATTTTCCAGCACAAAAACCATATTTGTATATTGGGATGACATAAGAAAGTTTCCAGTAATCAGGAAACTCTCCTGTGTCAATTGATTTATTGAAAATATGGAAATGAGGACGAGACGAGACAGTGGCTGCTTTTGAAATGCACACTTAATTCAAATATATTTTATATTTCTATTGGAATATAAAAAGCAGAAATATTACAGTATTCTTTCAAAAGTAGCCTCCTTGTAGACTAAGCCATGAGCCTTGTGTGAAGTATGCATCCTTATAAAAATAACACCTACATATATAGATATTTCAACATTTTTGAAAATAAAAAATATTGCAGTAGATAATGTCTTTTTGTTACAACTTCTGTCTCTTGGAAAGTTGATAACCTTAATTTATTAGCATGAATTTTCTATAAATACATTCTTACCATATTTAAATTCTGTAAGTACTCCTTTAACGTCTTCAATATTAATTTCTTGTTCTTCCTCTAATATAATTGTCATAAAATCCATTAGAATATTTGACTGTCTCATAAATTTCTTGAAACAATTTTCATTAAGTATGAAATGTACTTTGAAAGTGTCCAACATTTCATCTATTAACAGTTTGTTTTCTTCAAATATTACCTGCAATTGTTCTGTCAGAGATTTTTTTGTTTTATTTTATTTGAATGAATTTTACCTCACAAAATGCGCTTGGATCGATAATAAGATATATTAATCTTTGTAATATTTGTGCCTGATTAATCCAATGATCTTTCAATAAAAGTGCTAGATGAGAATTGCTCAAGTTGAAGTCTAATAAAACTGATGTAAAAGCTGGGACCAATTCTGTTTCTAATGCCTCTAAGCTTGCCATACTACTTCTAATTTTGCTACAATCTAAAAATTGTTTTTAAGTTTAATATCAAGCAACAACTGTTAAATGTTAACAACTTACTGTTAGGACAGCTTGAACAAGATATTGCAAACAAGCCAATTTGTAAAAGTCTATCCACGTGAAGGTCAAATTCAACAATCAATTCATCCAATTTTTCTTGATCTCCTTTATTTGTTTTATCAAAACAAAAATTGTGTATGGCTTCAAGGGGTAAGGTATACTCAGAAAATACTTTTAAACTCAATTTTAACACTGCTGTATTAACTTTGTGTTCAAGAGCACACAGTTTATTTTTGCATGTATCTACAAAAAGATTTAACATTGCTGTATTGGGTTTGATTTTGTTCATTTCTTTAGAAAGACTTCCTAGAGCATCTAACACCTACAAAGATACCCCCAAATGCACATTAATATATTACAATTCTTTTGTAATAAATTTACTACAATAAATTTATTGATTATGAATTTGTATTAAATACAAAACATCTTTTAAGATGTTTTATATTGCTCAATATAATAAAATTTTTCAATATACATCAAATTTTTATTTACAGTTTGGCTGCTTCCTCGTATCATTTTATACTCCTCTTCTAATGTTACTTGAGCTAATGACATAGCATGGCTTAATACTTCTTCAAAAATTTTCTTTGTTTCATTAAAATCCATACTTGCTTGTTCCACATTAACAAAGTCAATTAAATTAATTTTTTCAATTGCAATGTCCATCCAACTAATGAAATTTGCCTTAGAGTTTTGCAAGTATGAATTTTTGGTTATGGTCTCAAAAATTCCATCCAATGACCACAGCATTTGCTTTTTACAGAAAAATCTGATTTCCTAAAAAGCTCTATAGAAAATAAAAAATAAATAAATAATATAAAACTTACACTCAATGGTTGATCAAGTGCTGATTCTCTTACAAATATATTTATAAGTAAAGACAAAATTGTGAGCAGTTGATGTAGATACAATAATAATGTTTCCTTATATTCTATATTTTTATCAATAATTTTGTGAAAGTCTGTAAGAAGAACAATTAACTTTGTAAGTTGAGCACACAATCCCTAAAACGGAATATATTTTATATTTGATGTAATTTTAAATTGAAATAAGACTTGCCTTAAACCAATTCAATAAATTATTATTATGAGATATTTGAACGCTTAAAGTATTTAGGTATTCTTTAGTGGATGATATTTGCTTCAGAACTAAAGTTGAATACTTTTTCTTTTTATGTTCCATTGTGCTTTCCCAAATAATTTTTATTTATAATTTTGAATTTGACAGTTATAAAAATGACACTAAAAAATAACGATGAGTCAGGTTGGCCAATCTTTACTTGAGTTGATGTACATTTTATATGAATCTTAAAAACTACAAATTTTTAGAATTGTAAATGAATTGAAGCATATTTAAGAGAAACGAATTGCGGATTAGCAAGATAATAAATCACTAGTTTGACAGTTTCGGCCAATTGCATAGGCTATTTTACATTTTATTTGTGATATTTTTGGGGATATTTAGTTTTGTTTTTATTTTCATATACTTCTATGGTGGTCTCGTTTCTATATGTATGAGGCCAATTTATAATTGCAAACTTTATTCATATAAAATGTATTATGATTGTCGCGAAAATTGAGTAGTTACATGTTTAAGAATTTATCTAAAAAGACATATTTATTTATTTTTGATTTTTTCAATTTTGTTTTCAGTTTTTGGCAAATTATCTTCTTTTAACAGATTCTGCACTTATGCCTAATGAGGTACTACAGTTAAAAACTATAAAATTGACGGATATGTCATTGGTATGCCTGTCAAGTTTTTGGTTATGAAAAAGTGACAAACTAGATGACAGAATAGGCTGAATTTCAAATAGTTGACTATTTATATATTAAAAAAGAATTGCTGTGATAAAATATTTCATGGTATATAACGCTAATAATTCGGTTACACAAATGTCTAACAAATTTGAAACGTAAGTGAAAGTAAACCTCATTTTTGTTTATGTGAATTACCTTTGTTTATAACTATTTCATTTTATAGATTAAAACACCATGTGGATAATTCAGATAGTGGAAGCGGAGATGAGGAAACAGGTCCAAATATTACGGACTTGGGACCAATTGACTATCCTCCAGGTGAACATAGATTGCAACATCCATATTGTCTTTGGTTTTCAAAACGGCCTTCACAGATACAGGGTTCCCAGGTATCTTTTTATCATATTTAATATTTTTTTAATTATTAAGAGCATATCGCTCTATTTTCTAATATTTAAAAGTTACGTTAAAGAATATTTGTTAACACTCATTTTTATCTTTATACTTAAAATTAGTAGTTTTAATGGATTAACAGAACAATTGAATACCTGTCTCGAACAAGGTTGTAACCATCAAAAAACAAATTTTGTTCTGTCCCAGACAAATTTTGTAAGCTAAAATAGTAAGCATTTCAAGGAAGATTGCAGTAAGGATCACCTTATATTGTTGCTTAAAATCTTGTTCCTTGCTTGGCAGCGTTTCTGAAATATTGTTGGTTACACCTTGTTTGGGATAGGTATTCAATTCCTGTTTTATAACTTTTATGAAAAGAGAAAAAAAGATGAATAGCTTGTTTAATGTGACTTATTTAAGGAAATAAACTTTCTTTTAATGTTACTCTCAATGAAAAAATCAAATACCTATTTATCAAAAAAAGAAAAAATCATGTGTTTAAGGGATATAGTCAAGCTTTGAGGTTGGTGGGACAGGTGGGTACAGTAGAGCAGTGGTGGGCCTTGTATTCCCACATGGTCAGATTACAAGATGTGCCAGCACACAGAGACATACATCTTTTCAAAAAAGGTATTAAACCAATGTGGGAGGATGCAGCTAATAAAAAAGGAGGAAAATGGGTAAGATACACCTGTATGCGCTAGTTCAGTGTGATGTCATTTTGGTTCCACTGACATTTAATTCTGACCAAAATTTTAACAAAAACATCAATAAATTTGACATATACGTTTTTACTGTTTTTAGTTTATTTCTAAATATTGTTTACAGGTCATAAAAAATAGCTCAAAGGTATGTAATTGGTAACTAAATGATTGTATATTTGATGCACGTTATCTACTTTAGGAATATATTTGGAAGTAGTTGCTCAACTCTTCACAAGAAATTGAACAGTTATTTGTCCTCATAGGTAATGGTAAAAGTACTCTTATTTTAGGAGCTGCTTACTTTCCTCCAATGTCACCAAATGATAAATATGTTTCGTTCACTGAAAACTTGGATAATTTGTCAGAGATGTATCCTCATGCACAATTTTGCATTTTGGGCGACTTCAATTTACCTAAGGCCATATGGATGTCAAATAATCTATGCTCAATTGCTACCTCTTCCTTGGGACCTGGAACTAGAGCTGATGAAACTGCTGCGATTAATACTATCTCCAATATGTGTGCTTTTCACAACTTCTTTCAGAACAATGCAATGATTACAATACTACTTTAGATTTAGTTTTTTCTTATCAATCTTCAACAACCACCTCTCTCGCTAGTGATGCTCTAATTAATGTCGATAAATATCATCCCCTGTTACTTATACACTTGAACCTTGCTGTAAATTATTGTAACTCGTCACATGTACCTAATGAGTATTACTATGATTACAAATTCGCAGATTTTCGATCCATTGAACATCATCTGGGATTAATTCAGTGGGATTCACTATTCTTAAATAAATTACTTGATGAAATGGTAAATATTTTTTACGATTTTGTGTATTCTGTCATTCATTCCTTTGTACCATTGAAAAAATTATCCACTCGACGATTTCCCAGATGGTTTTCACCTGAATTGAAAAATCTCATAATTCTAAAGAAGGAGGCACACCTTAGATTTAAATTTAGTGGATCTTCTAACGACTACATGGTATTCTCTAACTTGCGCTCTCAATGTAAACTTAAGTCTAAACAGAATTACAATGATTACATTAAACTTACTGAATAATCTGTTGGTAATATTAAAATATTTTGGAATTTTGTTAATTCAAAAAGAAAAAGTAATGAGTTACCCAACGAAATGTACTATAACAACACTAGATGCTCTATGGGTACAGATTTAGCTAATATGTTTCAGGATTACTTTATCTCAGTCTATAGCAATCAACCATGCCATAATTATGATAAACCATATTCAACCCATTTAAATGTTGCAAATTATCAAATATCTATTTCAGAAATATTTGAACATCCTGATGGCTTGCCACCTTCCTTATTGAAAACTTGTTGTTTTGTTATATCCCGTCCACTGCATATTATCTTTAATGTTTCACTTCATAATGGGATGTTTCCTAATTACTGGAAATCAAGTTTTACTGTACCGATTTACAAATCAAGCGACAAATCAAATGTGACTAATTACAGGCCAATATGCATTCAAAGTGTGATTCCTAAACTCTTTGATAGTATTATTACAAAGTATTTATCGAAACTGCTTGATCCTTTCATCATAGATCAGCAGTTTGGTTTCTGCTCCAAAAAGTCTACTGAACTTGTTGTCTTATGTTGATTACTTGTCGAATGCCTTGGATTCTAATGATCAAGTTCATGCTATATACACTGATTTTTCAAAGGCATTTGACAGAGTTAACCACAGTTGCTTGATTGGAAAGCTTAGTAACATTGGTATTGGTGGTAATCTTCTGAAATGGATCGAATGCTTTATAACAAACCGCATTCAAATTGTTCGTGTTTCTGGTTTCTTATCCTCTGGCTTTACCGCTACAGCTGGTGTCCCTCAAGGTTCACATTTGGGACCTCTACTTTTTAATATATATAACAATGACATCCAAAATTGTTTTAAGAATTCACAGTTCCTTTGCTTTGCTGATGATTTAAAATTATTCATGCGTGTAAATTCCTTACATGATTGTATTTGCCGCCTTCAAAAAGACTTGGATAACTTGGTCCAATGGTGTAGTACTAATGGAATGGAATTAAATACAAGTAAATGTCATGCAATCAATTTCAACAGAAAACATAGTCCTATTGAATATATCTATAAAATCAATGACATAACACTGGATACTATTACAGAGGTAAAAGATTTCGGTGTGATATTAGATTCCACCCTTTCTTTTCAAACTCATATAACGGCCTCAGTTAATGAAGCATTAAGAATATTGGGTTTCCTTAGAAGAACTACTTCTGATTTTCATAATGTGATGTGTTTAAAGATTATTGTGCCTTAGTTAGACCTTATATTGAATATGCTTCTTCTGTATGGAATCCATAATATAGAACAGGTTCAAAGAACATTTTTACGCATTGTTGCATTTAAATCGGGTATTGTCCCGGTCAACTTCAGATACAATTATGACGAATTACACACACTTTGTCATCTTGAGACCCTTCTGAGCAGAAGAAACCAAAGGGATCTTAAAATATTGTTTAACATTATTAACTCATCTGCCGATTGTCCATACTTGTTATCCCAAATTGGATTTTCTGTACCCTCTAGAGTAACTAGGAATATTAATACATTCTCCCAACCTTTTCATAGAACAAATTATGGTTCTCACTCTTTTATTCCTAGAGTAACAAGATCTGCTAACAGACTAAATGTAGAATGGATTACTTCTCCATCAGATTTTTCTAACCATTTATGTATATGTGAGGAGTAGATTTTTAATTGTTTTTATTATTTATGTATTTAAATTAATTTATTATTATTTAGGATTTTATTACTATTTAATGTATGTAATATGTATTGTTTTAATGGGCTCTGACCCGTAAATAAATAAAAAAAAAAAATAAAAAAAAAGTGAAAAAACGAACCAAATGCACTCAAAAAATCTACTGTCACTTTAATTGTCAGTGGAACCATAATTACATCATCACACTAGCACATTATTAAAAAGGGCTGAAGGTTAAGTGGTAGAATAACCTTGGCTAAACTTCACTATGTACTTACAAATATACATTAAGTAAATAAAGACCAGTTTATTTTTTTTAATTATTATATTTTTCAGTCTGCCAAAGTAAAGAATTAAAGCATAAATAAAAATAGATTAAAAACATAGTTTGAAATATGTTTGAAGACTTCCTTCCAAATTTATTTAAAAAAATATTTAGTTAGCAAAATAATTTTCATAATAGGTATAAAATAATAAACTATTTTGAAAAATAACAATGTAAGTTACTTAGGGGTCTATTCTGTAAAAATTCCTTTATATTTAACAGCCTTTAAAAATATTTTCTTCTTTAATTCGGTCACTATTTAAACGGATCTTTAAAATACATTAGAGGACTATCTAAAAGAAATCTGTTTAAATAAGGACAGAAGTAAATTAACGAATACAAACATATTTTTAAAGGTCGCCAATATTTTTAAAGGCCGTTAAATATAAAGGAATTGTTACAGAATAGACCCCATAGAGCGAGATTTAGTGCATTTGCAAGTTTTCACATAAAGTTTTAATTTTAGGTCATACGTTTAAGAAAAGAACAAGCAGGTCGAGCTTGGGAAAATTTGTGTATGGCTATGTTAGGGGAACAGTTTATGGTAAGTTTATAATTTTAGGTTATTTTAAACTGTCTAATTTATTTTATATATAGGCAGGTAATGAAATATGTGGGGTAGTAGTTTCAACAAGGTACCAAGAATATCTATTAAGTATTTGGAACAGGACAGCATCAGATCAAGCAACTACAGCAAGAATTAGAGATGCATTAAAACGACTCTTAAATATACCACCAAGTGCCACAATGGAGTACAAAACACACAATGATTGCCTTAAATATGGGTTGGTATTTTTTTTACAAATGGCATTACTGAAAAAATATTACAGTGGATTTTAATGAAAAATTAATTTTATATGTATATTTTTGTTTTCAGGGCTGCAAAAATAATACCAAATAATTTATTAAAAAGTTGACCACCTAAGAAAAACTAGAGAATTATGATTTTAATATTGATTATTAAACTATTATTTCAAATTATGCATTGATCGCATATTAAATAAGAACAACTTGTGTACTCTTTGTTTTATTTATAAATATTTAATATATATTGGTAATACTGTCTTAATCTAGGACTTAAAGTTCCCTTAATTAACAAATCCATATTTTACCCAAAATGTTATTTTATTGCCATTAATAAAATCCTGATTCTAAAAACCACTTAATACTAATTAAATATTCTTTATTTAAAGTAAAAACTTTAAATTAAGCTTAGATAGGGGACAAATTAATAGGCATTATCATAGGGCTAGTTTAAATAAAGTAGTATTAGTAATTCTGAGAACCTTTTCAAACTCGAAATGGGTTCTGAAATTATTATTGTAGAAGTAATACCCCAATATCCTCTGGAAAGTTCAAAACTTGGTATTAGGTACAAAAAATGTATTTGCTGATTGGAAAACTCTAATTGGACCACATGAAAAACTGCAACTTATTTGTACATATAGTGTTCAACTGTAGGGCCATGCCAGTAAGAACGTTAAAATAATCCAACATTTTAAGAATAAAGTAATAAAATCTTAGATGCCAAACCATTACCAATTTTCCTAAAGTTATCAAAAACAGGCAAATATTGGGGCTATCTGCAAACTTCTGGACAACGCCGAATTTGTAAAAAGACTAAAGAGAAAATTTTTTTTAGTCTTATGTACATGTCAAAATTAGTGAAATCAATTCGTCAGACCCTAAAGCTACCATTTGGGAAGGAAAGACTGAGACCGACTTCAAACGCGAAGCGAAGGAGACCGAAAACGGTCTCTTCACGTCTGAACATTATATAATATGAAATACATTTGCGAAGGCGCGACAGACACTTTAGTATGGTAGGATTTGCTGCCTTTTTTTTTAGGGGAAATGCCTTTACGCACACCCTGCTAGATGTTCAGCAGGGTAGTGTGGAACTCATGACTTCAAATACCCACTAAAACCCCCCCATGTCAGTGGCCTGTGATCGAAAGTACCGGGACTAATCTTTTGATTTTTTTCGTCAGTACCTTCAGGCCGTTTCCATCATGTTCCGCCCATATCTTGATAGTCTCTTTCCTCTTCGCACTTCTTTCCTATGAAGGTCGTTATTTGATTCCAGTTTTCTACGCTTTTGGTCATATTCTCAATGATATTTTGCGGCGTTAGATTTAGATGATTTATTTCAATGGAGTTGTTCCTTTCTGAGTTCCATCGGATACACCAGAAAATCGTGTGCTCGGATGTGTCCTCCTCGCCGCAGTATATACACAGGATTTGCTGCCTGTCGCCTCCCTTTGTCGCGCGTACCCAAATGGTAGCTTAAGGTATACACTACTATGTAGTGAGTAGGTTCATACTCGTAAGAGGTTCAACCATAGCTAATTTCAGTTCGAAGATAATTATTCTTATTTTTTTATCACACTGTAATATTACTATAACATTTCCAGTAGGGGATACATTATAATTAAAAAAATATACAAATGTTTTTTATTCAAATTATTGTTTCATGTAGTTAATATTATCAACAAATCTACATATCAACCAGTTGGAAAAAGTAGTATATGTCACATCAAATAATTTCAGGAAACGAGAATGGTTAAGAGCGATCTACAAAAAATGTTTCTAAAGTAGGCCTTTTTTAAGTGTCAGTTTGTATTTAATTAGACATGACTCGTATCTCTGTAGTTGTTGGTCATGGCCTACTATAGAAACATTTTTTGTGAATTACTATTTATATTATACAACTAGTATAGAAAGTGATATTCTATTTTGCACGAGTGGATGAAATGCAATTTCCAACGGATGTTCTATCTGTAGTTTTCACAGATGGTCCCAGAAAAAATTTCCTGCTTTACTTATAGTTATATTATTTTTATTTTAAATTTTGGACTTATTGTAAACTTGTTAATTATTTACTTAACATTTGCGGCTGCCGTTTTAAATGCCAGTGCAGTCGCACGAACAGCGCTCTCGATCAGGATAGGAATTCTTATGTGCAAACTCGAACACGTTATGTGTTGAATAGAGAGAGACATGACATAAGAATCGCATTCTGTCGAACGAAGATAGATGCTTCCCAACACGTGCGATAATCACACTTTTTGTTTTTTTTACTAAACTGTTGGTAGCGCTTATTAGAACTGCAACTTCAGGAATAACGAAAAACAATTTTATTCGATTTGCCAGATATGAGAAACAAATGTGTGCAACTAATAAAACATAGGTATCTCTGTATAATAAAATGAAAAATAAAAATATACTCTCATATTATCTGAGACTGAAATCGAGATGTCTATTTTTTGCTGACGAGTCAAAATAAGGACGAAACCGATCCAAGAATGACGTTCTCATTGATAAGCAAAATCAAAGGTAGAGTGTTGAAAATTAATTTCTCTCTGCTGCTTTCTTTTGGATATAACTCAACGCCTGTTGCAAATTAGCCAAAGGAGTAGTTGTTTTCCGTTTGCAAGGCATTTAAACTTTATTCAACCACAGCACATTAAGCTAAGAGGACAGGGAAACATCCAAAACGGAATTACTGCGGGCTGACCAATAGCTTGTGCGTATCATGCTGTGGTCATAAGGCTATTTGTGTTTACACGTTACTTGCGTTTAAGTTTTGTTTTCTATACCAGACTATTTCATATAACGAAACAAGTTTGCTATTATACGACATGCAGTCACTTTAAATAAGAAAACTATTTCTTCTTTTGCTGCTTTTCAAACTACTTAATGGGAGTAATCTCGTGAGACATTCTTTTAGAAAAGGTCGCACTCCTACTTGGCGAACGCGACTTCTCTTTGCAACATTAAACAACATCGAACCAACTATGTGACAAGCGTCTAGTACCAGAGAAGTGCAAAGGGCATTCTCTGAGCGCATTTATCTAAACTACAATAAGTTACTCCGAGGGCCCAAATTCGGCTGCGAGTGACTATGTGCTCCATTTCTTTTGTTTTTTTGCTCGTATTTTTTAGGACATGTAGTTCTTGTAATGCATGTTGTTCCAAATAAATAACTCTATTTGTAAGAAAGTTTCACTTCCAAAACTCGGTATATTTCTACTCCAGCCAATAAGGACATTACTTAGTGTATCACGAATATATGTTTTGTTCATCACCGTCGCCGATTTTTTCCCAAAGGATGTAGTTTTTTTTAGTTTGTTAAAGTTATCAGTAATTACTATTGAAATTGGTTATATTATTTTTCATCATATTCGAAGTACTCTTAGATATGTTAACTAAATGTGAAAAATTCGGCAAAAACGATTTTTCCACTCGCAAAACTGTATTTGTAATTTTTATTCGCTGTTTATAGTCTCCAGACGATATTACAATGTGCGTCTCTAGAATAATTTGGAATTATGGTTCCAAATTCTATCTATTGGGACTAATTCTGAAAGTACCCAGCGTTCTGTAGAGATTTGGATTAGATTTAAAATAATAATACTCTCCTCTAATTCACCCCCTTACGAGTAAATTTCAACCCCTGAAGTTGACTGAACGACTTGTGTAGGGGAAGGGACGGATATTATTTGCCGTGGCGCTCCGGGGCGACCTAAAGATGATTGATGGTGCCATTTGACTTACAGGTGAGGAAAACCTCACCCACCATCATGGGTTATACATTATTTGTCCTTGTCCACCGCGACCTTTTCAGATCTATTGTGGGACTACGTTATTTGGATATGTCGTCTAGCTTAGTTTTCTCTTCTTCGCAGAACCTGCACAATGTTGCTTCTTCTGCTGGATTGATGGCACTCATGTGTTTACTTAGGTGGCAGTGTCCAGTAAAAAGACCTACTGTTATCCTAACACTTTGTAGTTTTTGATCAAGTAGGTCTTTCGTGAACTGTTAGGCCTGTCTTAATTCTGGATAGTTATTCCATCATTCCTGAGACTCTTTTGGCAACCATTGTTTGATAGATGGCTTGCACAGTGCCTTAGCAACTCCACAGAAAGGTTCGGGGTCAGACATCACCTTATCTGAGCGTTTTCGGGATAATTCGTCGGCCCTTTCATTGTCTAAATATCCTTTGTGGCGTTGTACCATGGTCGTCTATATCTAGACGGCCCTGGTTGTACCCAGGCTGAAGTCACTTTGTTTTGACTACTTAGCTCTGTCAGGTCTTTCCCCAGTCGTGATTTGATTTCTGGTGAGAGAACTGCATTTAGCACTGTTTGTCTATCAAAGTAGATGACAATAGTTTTGCCTAATACTTGCTGATTTATTATTTCTCTTGCACAGTGTTGTATGGCTATTAGTTCAGCCTGAACTGTTGCTTATTTTCCTAGACTCAGGAAATCGTTATTTTCGACTTGGGTTCAAAGATTCTAACACCAGCTCCTTCCTTGATTTTTGAACCATCTGTACACCAGACGAATTAAGCTTGTATGGGAGGTCCCTGTTTCCAAGATTCTCGAGCTGGTATTTGAAAATTTAAACTTTTTATGTGGTTATGGTTATATCAGTGGGCATTCCTACAATATTTTTTTGCCGATTACTCGAAAGGGCTTTTGATGTAAATAGTTTTGCATTTAATGGACTTAATTATACCTTTATAAGGAAACAACGTTATATATTTTCAATTTCTCAAACGACTATACAAATTTTAATTTCATTAGCACACTCACAACGCCAAAAAACACGTAAAGAATTGCGAATGTCCCAGACAACACACCAAATCCCAGAGATATCCACAGAATATCTTTTGTGGATATTCAATATATCCACAAGATATCTGAAATATCCCGTGGATCTAATATGGATATCCAAATGTCGGTCTATATCCAGAATATAGAAGATATCCTATGGATATCCAGCAAACTATATAATGGGTATCTTCCAGACAATACAAGAAATCCCAAAGATATCCACAGAATATATTTTGTGGATATCCATTATATCCAGTGGATCTAATATGGATATCCAAATGTCCGTCTATATCCCAGGATATAGAAGATATTCGGATATTCAGCAAATTATTTTATGGGTATCTTTAGTAGAGGTTCATAAGTAACCAATGATTATTGAATAACGTCGAAAGAAAATAGCAGAGATAAAAAATATTTTCAACACTCAAAATATTTTCAACACCCTGCCTTTGATTTTGCCCACTAAGGAGAAAGTCGTCCTTATTAGGACTCTTCAGCAATAAATGGAAATTCTCGCCTCCAGTCTCTAATGGAGTCTGATTGTGACACCAATTTCGATCGAACTCAGTTACGGCGGGTTGAGCATGAGTAGATATTCAACGAGCGAAAGTGGTATCGCCATCTATACTTAGTAAGCAAAATCAAAAATTACATCTAGTGGAGATCCACCATGGTTTGCGTTCGCGCCTAGACTTTGATATATTTAGTGGATGTCCATGGGATATTGAATACACCTTAAAAAAATTAATTTTAAATATCTGAACGGTACTATTAGGCACAATGGCGTAATTTTTTAATAATTTGCTATATAATTACTATTATTTATGGACATTTGCATGTTTATAAAATAGATATCCACCATGGACTGGATATTGGGATGTCCAGTAGATATCCAAAACGATTTGGTGTGCTGTCTGGGGTGAGTGTAGATGATTTTTGCGTGTTCAGCGTCTTGTTTTTCTGAGTCAGTTTTTGGTACCCGTTTCAAAGAGTTCGCGGCAGATAAATGCGAACGCTATCTACATTCACCCATATAACGGCCGTGCCAAGTGTTGCTGTCTATTGTTTTTGTTACTTTTCTCTTGTTCTACTATTTTGGGTTTAAAAGCAGCTGTTTTCATTAAATAAAATTATTAAAGATTTGATTGTACGTCGTAATAAAGACGCAGACGACAGCAACAAATACTAAAAGTGGTGTCGTCTGTCGCGCCTTCCCAAAAGTGTTTCATATAATTACGTGTTCAGACGTAAAGAGACCTTCTTCGTATTTGCTGCCCGTCGCTTGAAGTTGGTCTCGCCTTCCCAAATGGTACCTGAACAGTCAGATAGATAGCCATAGGAAATTAAGTGTTTCGGTCGCGACCAAGCGTGAATTAGCAATATACACATTATCTATGCATTACTAAAAGTAAATTTCACCCTCAGTCCTTTTTATGTTCACCTTAAATGTTGTCTCTCTCAATTATACTAAAACAAAATCATAATCTGTTCAGAACGAAAGGCTAGCTGACGCCCCTTTTAAGGGCTGTGATATATCACATTTTCTTCCACAACTTGTGTATGTCTGAAAAATTAGTTGTCAACATAGTACAGAATTTAAAAACTATACTTTTAAAGATAACCCTCCTATATAAGAAAATAATTACTATACATTCGATGGAACACCTATATTTGTGAATTATATTTAATACAATACAACTAGACATAAAATATTTAAGTTACAAAAAATACCATGCTATTAGTCATATTATAATATTGTGATTCTCTTCTATCAGCACGCTCATTTAAACACAAATCAAAAGATAACTGTGAATGCAATCTTTGACTATTAAACTATAGAATCTCAGTTACCCGGAAAATAGTTTATTTTGATTAGTGTTTAGTTTAAATGAAATCACAATTTTAAGAACTATTATATTCAGTAAAAATGACTGTTCCGAACTTCATATTTTCCCTTGTAAAATCCCATTGAAAAACTACTTATCATTATAATAAAAATACACAAAAAAATATACAGAGTGGAAGAAAAGTCTCAGGTTTTAATACATTTTGAAAAAACTGACACAAAAAAATTGTTCAAAAATAATTTGAAACTTCACCGTCCAAAAATTTAAGGTAAACAGTTTTCACTAAAATTCTATGAAAAATTATAGCCTACTAATAAATTAATGTTTCCATATTTGTGGAATGTTTCTTCACCCTATAAAACGAGAAATGACTCTAGAGGTTGGTTATTTAAAATTTACGAGCAACAATTTGAAGTATTCTTGAAAAAAAAAAATGAATGTCAACGATTTTAAATATTTTCAAAATATATCTTTGTTAAAATCTGATATAATTCACTTTTCTTACATTCTGTATAAATATACTTCCATTTACATTATTTAATAATTTTTCATCAAATTTGTTCGAGTACATTAATGTTCCTTCTGTAAATAACTCAATTACGTTTTTTTATATATATTTATTTATCAGAAAGTAAACAGGTTTAGTAACATCATTACATGTTCTTGTATTGTGATGTGAATATCTTAGGAAATAAATATTTGCTCTAGTTGTTAAAAAATGTATGTACTTTCGCTTGATTAGCAAAAATAATACAATACACTTTATTAGGGATAACAGAAAGTTAATAAATAAAAAAGCATTAATCAATTACATTCCTTGTTAAAAGAATAAATCACGAAACAATAACAATATACAGATATTTGATCAATTGTTAATAATTATATTTAGAATATTAACATAACAGCTCAAAAAGTGTCAAATTATTTTATTTTGCTTGATTTATCATTATGGCTTTAGAAGGCTATGAACCGGTTAGTAAAGACGCCGCAGAAACTATTAAAGAATAACTATTAATTTTACATGACAACCTAGTTCTAAATCTGGATCTTGAACTTCTTTTATTTAGTTGTGAACCCAAAAACCGATAACAATGAAAGTTCGAAACCCCGATTCATAACATTGTCGAAAACTTTTAAACATCCTAGTTTTAGCTCAATATATTGTTTCGGAACAGTCAATATAAACTATGATGTAGTAATTATTGCATTTACATATACAAAATATTTTTTGAATGAGGTGTTCCGCATAAGTACCGACACAGAACAGGTGCGTGTTGGGTACCCCAAAATATGATTTAATGCAATTTACCTCTATACCAAGTTGTACCCCTAAGGAGTTACGGAAACCTAAATTGGGGCCATACATTTTGAAGATTTAATATTTCTGCAACTGTTTTAACTTAATCTATATTTGTTAAATTATTTAAGCGCTTCATGAGTCTTAATATGGGGGCGAGTAAGCATTAATTGATATATTTTAAGGGGTTGTTTTGGGGTAACTAACCCTTATAACTGTACAGAACTTTTTTGTCTATTGGTCGGTTTTTAAAATTTTCATTTCATTTTATGCAAAATTTCATTTTAAAACTCTTTATTTTTTTTAATAAAATAAATATTTTTCGACAAAAACGAGAAAAATTAAATACGCGTTATGATGTTAATAATGAATTTAAGAAATAGCAAATTACTTTTAATAAAATCGATTTAAGGGCGGCGTCTGGCCATATTTCGAAAATGGTTTATCTCGACCATTTCGCAATTTTTTTTACAAAATCATTAAAAGAAAATACTTAAAACAATTTTAAAGTATTATGTGCTTCATTATTTTTCTGTGTGGAAAGACATGTAAATATGTTTAGTTTTAAATAAAACGCCTAGGTAAGTCAATGCGATTATATGTGGTTTAAATACCAAAAGTCAAAGTCATTTGTTGAGTACTTAAAACAACTCCGTTTCTTAAGAAGTTTTTACAACCCCTAGGCACACTTCATAAATGTTTTTCAATATTAAAATTAATGTGAAGACGTATACTTTTCCCGAAAGCTTCATTTAAAGTCAACCACACATATATGGCAGATTTCTATGGGCGAACGCCAACCCTTAACTGAGAACACAATATGCTAGTTCAGTGATGATGTAATTATGGTTCCACTGACAATTAAAGTGATAGTAGATTTTTTGAGTGTGTTTTGTTTACCTAAATTATATAGTTTTTTCACTTTTATAAATATATTGCTAAAGTAAGTAGATGCATGCATCAAATTTGCAATCATTTAGTTACCAATTACATACCTTTAAACTATTTTTTATGACCTGTAAACAATATTTAGAAATAAACTAAAAACAGTAAAAATGTACATGTCAAATTTATTGATGTTTTTGTTGTTTGGTTAGAATTAAATATCAGTGAAACCAAAATGACATCACACTGAACTAACGTATTAAAACTAATATATCTACATGATAAAAATTAAATAAACTTGGTCCCACTTTAGGCCTCCGTAACTCCTTAGGCGTACAAATTGGTAGAGGTAAATTGCGTTAAATCATCATATTTTGGGGTGCCTAACACTCATCTGTTCTGTGTCGGTACTTATACGGAACACCCTGTATATTTAACAATGCAATTAGTTTGTTACCAGCATACTGTAGCAAAACTGAGCATGTTTAATTGCATTGTCAATTTTAATGAAAATTATACACAATTTCAATCAACATGCCTTTTTATAAAATGAATGATATTATTTTAAAATTATTTGTTTTTTATGTTTTACTTTTACCTAATTAAATAAAGTGAAAAACAGATGACTTTTTGATATTACCGAGTTAAAATACATTGATTTTTAATAAGTATGTTAAAAAATTTAGAATTACAACCTAAATTAATTCTATAGACTGCATAGGTTGAATGTAATACCTAAAATTGAGTAAAAATAAGATTTATCATAGTAATTTCGCTTTATTAGCAATCAGACAGCAGTGATAAGGTCTACAATTTTCAGCATTGGCAATTTCCATGCACACCTATTATTACCCCAAGTTTTTTACCTAATTTCTGTAAACTGCAATCAATCAAATAGCGTATAATATCATGTTTGGAAATGGAAACTCGATCACTAACTGTAATTAAGTATATACATAAACATGCTTATCAATGCGCTCGTGACTCATAATTTTTTTGTCGATTCTTGGATAAAATTAATTTACTTTCTGCCTTTGATCCTAACAAAAGGAAGCCAAAAAGAAATATTTAATCAAATTTAGGATCTTCACATGTAAGTTGCAAATATTTGACAAGTATCTTGTTGCACTAATTATACATTTGCTAAAAGAAATAGAATTATTTCCCTGATCCTGATCATTTTTTTCATTAAATATCTATTATGAATGCACAGAAAAACAAGTCATGGCAAAATTTACCATTGAAAGTTTGTGTGAAAATATTAATTACAATTACATAAATTTGTATTCAATCCAACTTCCTACATTCTTTTTTTATAATAAAACACCATATGTAGGATTGAGGGTTCAGAAAATCTCAATAACCATTTTTTCTATTCAAATAATCATTAAAAGCAATAATTTTTAAACAAGCAACTTTATAAATAAAACAGCAATATATTTTGGAAAAAAACTAAACAAAAAAAGGCATATTTATTGATTTCGTTAAATCAAAAAAGAAATAAAAGAAAGTTCGACTAACCTTGCACCGACCCTTCCATTTGAAGGACGGCGCTGCGGGGAAGTCCTCCTCTCAGCTGTTGTGAACACAGATGGACCTACCTTTTTGGTTCCATTTCAAAATTTGGCTTCACACATAAACCAACATCAAGATTATTTGTAATTATTAAAGGGAATAAAATAGCAAAATAATATTTCTTAGAAATTACGCTCTTTTGTAAAAGTGTTCATTCATGTTATGCTTTTTTAACTTCATAATTGCTTTTAAAATAACTAGTTTTTTTTTCAAATATGTATTTTTAGTACATAATTTCTTGGAAAAATTGAAAATCCTATTTTACTCAATGATACTGGTTAAAGGTAAAAACAGTATAATAAATAAAACATTTATTTGACTGTACAAAGTAAATTGACAAAAAATAACGATCGAAAAAACGTCCCTAGAGTTCACCTGTGTTCACTTCACCAAAATCACAGCTAAAAGCGTCCTTTCTTGAGAAATTACATACATAATCATACAATAGTTCATTCTCTAACTTTTTCCATTAAAACCTATTTACAAAGTTTATAAACATTTCGTAATAATATATCACATATTGTATATATGTACAATGTACAAGATGTGACATACTGTTAATATTTTTTTGCTTTAAGTGTTCAGTATTCACCAACAACTAAACAGTTTAAAGCACTTACATCATCAAAAAAACAAACAAATTTTATACAGAAAAATATCCTGTCTCATGTGTAAACAAAGAATGGTATAGGTAGAGAACCGTGTTCTCAGATTGAAATTATTTTTATAGTGCAAACCAATTTTTCAAAAAATTGAAAATATTGTTACCCTTTGATTTTCATCCGAGAGACACTCAATCTTACCTAAAGTATTCAAAGAGCGTCTGTCTAAGTTTATACTAAATAGTTACTCTGCAGGAGCCTCTGTCCCTGGAGGTTGAACTGCTTCTTCAACTTCTAGTGGCGGCGGCCTCTCATCTATTACAGGTGTACTCTTACCATCTTGGATCATTTCTTGTTCTCCTTCACCTTCATCCATATGAACCTCATTTTTCGATTGCACTTGTTCTATAAATTCTCCACCTTCCCCTTCATTTTGAGGTTCACCTTCATTACAATTATCCTCTCTTTCCAATGGCGGAGGTCCATCATCGGGCTCACCTTCTTGTTCTCCTCCCCACCTGCTCCTTCTACCTCCTCTGCCAGGTTGTTTGAAATCGGGCCGGACCCATGTTCTGTCTTCAAATCTTCTAAATCCCCTTCCCCTTGGTCCTCTGAAAGGCCCATCAAATGGAGGTCCATCAAATGGTGGTTCATCAAATGGAGGCCCAGGGAATGGCGGCCCATCAAATGGAGGAGGGCCACCTTCAAATGGCGGACCATCGAATGGTGGACCATCAAAAGGCGGACCGTCAAAAGGCGGACCATCAAAAGGTGGGCCATCAAATGGCGGACCATCGAAAGGCGGTCCATCGAACGGAGGTGGGCCATCAAACGAAGGTGGACCGTCAAATGGTGGCGGCCCATCAAATCGTGGATTAAATCCACCTATAAGCAAAAAAAAATGATGTTTGAAAAATATGTATTAATTTTGTTTGTGATAATGCACTTGATAAAAAAAGACACTAAGGTAAGCCTAAACTTACCTCTGCCTCCTCTACCTCTTGGAAAGAACTGACCTCGGCCTCTTCCTCTGCCTCTCATCATTCCTCTATGTCCAAAATCATCCCTTGGGAAGAATTCACCATCAGGTGGACCTCTGCCCCTCCTACCGCCTCTCATAAACCTGTCTTCTCTAAATGACATTGGTGGTCCATCCATCATATCAGGAGGTCCATCCATCATTGGCGGACCATCCATCATTCCTGGTGGCATATCCATCATATCTGGAGGTCCGTCCATTCTCATTGGAAAGCGGCCTCTTCGACCACGTCCTCGACCTCTCATGCCACCTCTCATGCCTGGTGGGCCATCCATCATGTCATCGAACATCATAGGTGGGATATCATCATATAAACCACCTCTAGGTGGACCATCTCTCATATCATCAAACATGTTTCTTGGAGGGCCATCCATATCATTAAACATATTTCTTGGAGGGCCATCCATATCATTAAACATATTTCTTGGAGGTCCATCCATATCATTAAACATACCCATTGGGGGACCATCATCAAAGATACCTTTTTAAAAAAATAAAGAAATATTTATGATAGCATAGAACATAATATTTTACGTACCTCTTGGTGGACCATCATGCAAATTTCTTGGAAGACCATCATTAAACATAGGTGGTCCTTCAAACATCATATTGGGTTGTCCATCAAAAGGAGGACCTCCTTTAAAGGGTGGAGGTCCATCAAATGACATTGATGGAAAGCCTTCCCGATTATTATCCAAAGATTCATCTCTTTCAGGTGGAATTTCCTCTGCATTAGGGACATCCATACCTGAAAAAATATATTTCAAATTAAAAATATTTAAGAATAAAAAAAATTATATCCTTACTGTTTTCACCAGGAGGTCCTTCCATTGAATTTTGCAATTCTTTAATTTCTCCACTTTTTTTATCAAATGAGGTTCCCTCTGGTTTAGAATCGGGTGCACCTTCAACTTTTTGTTCACTATTTTCATCCTTGAGAACTCCTTCTATATGCGATTTATTATCATCTTTTTTAATATCTTTTTCTTCGCTCTTAGATTTACTGTCTCTTTCTTGATCTTCATTGAGTTTGTTGCTGATAGGTGGACCGTCATCAGATCTATGTCTAGATGGTATGTCATTCCTCTCAAATCTATCCCTTTGTCGGAAAGGACCATCTCTGTCTCTTATGAATTCCTCTTCAGGTCTTCCATTACTCCTTTGAGGCGGTGGTACAAACTTCAAATTGCTCTCTCTGTTATTATCTCTGCTATTATCTCTGAATCTGTCTCTATTCCTGTCTCTAGGATCTTCATATCCTCCTCCCATTCCTGCCATTTCTCTTAATCGATCATTAAGAGTTTTTTCCCTCTCTCTTCTATCTTCAGGATCTCTGTCACGTCGATCTCTATCACCCCAACGGTTATTGCGGTCCCTATTATCTCTGTTGTTGTCACGTCGATCGTCTCTTCTATCTCTATCTCTTCCACGACTCAGATCTCGGTCGCCTCTATTGTATCGCCTATCTCGATCTCTATCTCCCCTGTCTCTGTTGGGTCTATCTCGACTCTTGTCCCTATCTCTTTCTCTACTGTAAAAATAAAAATTTTACCATTATAATAATAAAGTCTCAAGAATTCAAATAGCAATAATAGCCAAGCTTCGCAATGAGGCATAAAAGTTAATCCCAAGATTAACTTGAATATACAAATACTCACTTATCTTTATCTTTTTCCCTACTTCTATTCCTTCTATCTCTGTCATCTCGTCTGTCTCTCCTATCCTCATCTCTGCCCCTGCCAAAGGTACCACCAGATTGATCATTAAATTGGGGTGGTTTCTCCATTGGTTTATCAGCATCTTCCATTTCAATGTCCATGGTGTCTTCATGTGGTGCCGGAGGTTGAGGAACTACTCCAAAGGATTGAGTAATATTCATTAAAGATTCCCCTAAGCTGTGGAGACTTGCATCATGGTTGACTCCCGATTTATTGTCTATGGAGGATAGCTGGGGAGGCATCATATTCGGTGGACCTAATAAATGATGTTTGGGTCCTAAAGATCATCATAAAATTAACAATTGATAAAATGATTAATATTTGCTGGGATAGCCATAATATAAACAGACTTATAATTTAATAACTTTGCCAATAAAGGTCATAAAATAAAAATGCATTTTTATTAGAAATCTGATGAAGAAGTTTACCTTGGAAAGGCGATCCTATACCTAACAAAGAATTGCCCATCATTTGAGGACCAGTCATATTCGGAGGAGGAACCCCAATTGGAATATTAGGCATATTTGGCATGCCGGATAGATTTGGCATCATACCTGGGGGAACATTCATACCCAATAATCTAAAAAACATATTCCATTATACACAAATACAAATCTTATTTCCGAAATGACTTTTCATATTCAATTGTAGATATATGCATTACCTATTATTGAACTGGAATGGATTGACTAAAGGCATCATAGGTGGGGGTTGTAGAAGTCCGGCGCCTGGCATTGGTGGAGGCTGACTGGTATCTATCGTAGCAGCAGATGTTGGTGGCATAAAACTAGGCAAATTTTCTATAATGGGTTTCTTTCCCATTTTTTCAACTTTTTCTTTCATCCAATCAGGCATCGTTTCTTCATCTATCATTCCTCCATCTTCAATCATATCTATGTCTATATCGTGTTTTAGTTTTGCATAAGGAATGTAAGAAACGCCCAAATCTCCTTCCCAATAGTCTTTTAAGTCTTTGCCTTTGACACCTTTACCTGGTGCCCATGCCAACTAAACAGGAAAAACATTAAAATATCTATACTGCTACTAGTGGCAATAATGAAAACAAATATTTCAACAAATATTTTATTACCGTTATGGATTTGCCATGTAAATTGTGTCCTTTGAGTTTGGTCAAACATCTAGCTGCGTCTTGTCTTCTTAGCATCACAATGAAAGCGCAACCCCTAGGCGGAATTAAATCAATGCTAACGACGTCCCCAAATTCACCAAAAGTGTTTGACAGATCATCCTGGTGTACCAATTTAGATAGATGACCAACCCACAAAGTCGTGCTGCAAACTGTAAAAAACAAATTATTAATCAACAACATTGTATAATATGTTAACAATAAATCATACTTATTAGTAAATCATACTTACTACTAAGATGGTCTTTTTTAACAGCTGGCAATCCTCTTTTCTTTCTCTCCTTTTCTCTTTCAGTTTCTTTTTCCTTCTCCTCTTTAGACTTTTCCTTATCTTTTTCTTTCTTAGATCTATCATTTCTATCATTTCTTTCCCTGGACCTGGATCTATTACGCCTTCTAGAACCAGAGCGAGACCTAGACCTTCTCCTATCTCTATCTCTCCCTCTTCTATCTCTAGATCTAGATCGACTTCTTCTTCTTTTCTTGTACCTATCATCAGGTGAAGGTGACCGTGAATCATCGTGATCAAGGTTAATAACTTCTACTTCTGCACTGTTATCTTGACTATGGCTTTTATCTACCAATTGGTTATTAGATATGTCAAACTCAGGTTGGTAATGAGGAGCAGGAGGGTTCATGCCTTCTATGTAGTAACTGTTACCTATCATTGGATTTGTGGTTGTTCTGAAATCGCATTCAGAGGCAAAGGGTAGATTCTAGAAAAGGAAAAAACATTGTAAATTGTAGAGAAATAAATTAGTGATGACTGCAAAACTTACTGGTACTGTTTGAGCTAGATGTTTATCAAATTCGTCTTCTTGTTGTTTCATTTCTTGTAACTTTCTTAATTTGTCCATGTCCATTTCTTGATTTTGAGGCTGCACAGCATTTGCCATCGTCTGCTGAAGGGTTTGTAATTGTCTAAGAACTTCAGGATTTGTCAAGAGACTAAAGAAAAAAGTCATTTATGAAGCATTTTGTTGTTTTAATCAAAAATTTTATTTATAAGATTGTAATTGGATAATATGAAAGAGTACCTTGTAACTGGTAAAACAGACTCAGCAGTAGGTTGCTGTGTCCTAGGCGATGGGTGTATTTCATCATCTTCATCGCCATAATCGAAATCTAACAATTTCTTATCAAAATGAATTTGATCAGAACGTGAAGAATTTTCCACATTTTTTGAAATAAGCCTTTGAAGTTGTTGTAACTGTTGAAGAACGTTTGGATCCGCCAAATTCTGCAAAAATAAATTTGTTAGGCGATACACATTTAAAAAATTTACATTATTAAGTCTGCATAAAGTATTTAATTATTTCTGTCAAAATTTGTTTATATTAAATTCGTAACACGATGCAAGAGTAAGCTCTTTAAAACGTGAAATGAAGAAAAAAATATACACGTAAAGAGAGTATGTAGTGACTGGTGATACAGAAGAAAACAGTAACGAAAGAAAAAAACAGACCAAAATTGATTCAATTAGCAAGTCACAAAAAATTGATATATTTGAGTTATCAGATGGATTAGCAAAATTTCTGGTTAGATTCAGAGTACATTCGTGATTAAACCTCGTACTTAGAAATATATGAATATCTCAACACTAGGGGGAGGAAGAACTAGTAGTAAATCAATAGAAGACCAAAATATACATTTCAGTACATTGATAGGTGATTACTACACCTAAATAGAAGATCATTAGAAACAGCAATAGGTCCTGGAAAAGATGAAAGGATTGAGACAACATTAAATTTTTTCCTAGAGAAAAACCTATATCTAATGAACAGCAACTAAAAAAAAAGGCAGGTTACCCAAACAAAGGAAGAAAACAAAAACGTAATACATTTTATTATCAATGACATAAAGTTTATCTTCAAAGAGGCAAGTGCAACATCTAGTGACCACGAAATGGTAAGAGCTGAAATGGAATTAGCAGTCCAAAAAAAAAGATGACCTAATTGGTCAAAAAACTTTAATTTCTTTTTAAAGACTTCACCTTTATTGGCCCAATGAGACTTACAGATCAAAGATGACAAATATATATAAAAAAAAAATGTTTCTAGAGTAGGTCATGACCGACAAAGACAGATACTAGTAATGTCCATGTTAACTACGCATGGTTCTGAAGTCACTCCAAAATGACATTAAAAAAAAGAATACGTCTAAAATGGCCGCGATAATGGTCCCACTGACAGTTACATTATAACCAAACTTTTAACAAAACATCATTAAACTTACATATTACGTTTTTTCTTATTATTTGTTTCCAAGTCATAAAAAATAGTTTAAAATATGTAATTGGTAACTAAACGGTTATATACTTGATGCATTTTATCTACTTTCTAAAGGAATATATTTATGAAAGTTCAAATACTATATAAGTTGAGTAAACAAAACGCACTTAAGGAGGTCCTTTCGCCACCAATGTTAAATAAAAAATATTAGATTATGACTAAAATTAATTTTTTTCTAATAGTAGATGTCCTTATTTATCTAATAGTGAACTTTTAACTATACCTTACCGTGCAAATTTTTGAGAAAAATTTTTTTTAGAAATGTGTGTGTTTGTACAGTGTCTTATGAGAAAGTAAGACTTCAACAACAATTTTCGAATTATAAATAATTTTATTATTATTTATTGATTAGATGGAGTAGAAAAAAACTAAAAATAAGGTTTTTGAAATATTTAGGTTTTGTTTTTTACAATAAAATATATAGGTTACCGTGGAATTTATTGAGAAATTATTATTAAAAAATCACAAAAAAATTTCAACTAGGTTACTTGAAAATTTTTTGTGATTTTTTAATATTAATTTCTCAATAAGTTCCACGGTTTACTATATATTTTATTGTATAAAACAAAATCTAAATATTTCAAAAACCTTATTTTTAGTTTTTTTCTACTCCATCTAATCAATAAATAATAGTATAATTCGAGAATTGTTGTTGAGGACTTACTTTCTCGTGAGGCACTGTACAAATACTCACATTTAAAAAAAAAAAAATTCTCAAAAATTTGCAAGGTAAGGTATAGTTAAAAGTTCAGTATTAGATAAATAAGGACTTCAACTATTAGAAAAAAATTAATTTTAGTCATAATCTAATAACTTTTTTTTTAACATTTGAGGCGAGAGGTGTGGCGAAAGGACCTCCTTAAAAAGCATGCTTTCACTGTAATTGTCAGTAGAACTATAATTACATCATTACTAATGTAGTGTTTTGTACAATCCGAAATACATAAATTTTTCCAGTGCCTACTTTAGAAAATTTTTTTTGTGGACCACTCCATATTAATAGCGTATAACTGAAAGAGTTAAACATGTTTGAAGAATTGGAAAAAGACTGAAGTGAGAATATACTATTTAAAGATTAAAATAATGAAAAAGGTCTGAATTGGTAGAGAAACACAGAGGGTATGAAAGGAGTATAATCGAAGCTGGGAGTTACAAATAATAACCTTTCAATAAGACTAAAATGGGAAGCGTTTGAGAAGTGTCTTGCCAATCTTGAGGTACGAATTCATTCAGAGATACGTTGAGACATCACGTAAAAAAAACATGGGAACCAGGAAAATTCTGAAAATGCAAATAAACGGCAGTTTGGACGATCAAGTAAAAATTGGTGATTTACTACTACAGCAAATAGAAAAGAGGAATTATTAAGGATGCGACGAACTTATAAACACATACTACATTGTTGTATGTTCCAACAAACAAAATTATACTCTAAAGTGTAGATACGAAATTAAAATTTAATTGCCTTCAAATAAAAAAAAATTATGAAATGAAAGTACAGTAGAGCGTCAATAATCCGGATTAATTGTGACCGGACCCTGTCCGGATTATCAACATATCCGGATTTTCGAAAAGTCCCAAAAAAAGAGCATTTGAATTCCTAACAAAAAGAAAACTTGCTAAAACGGTTAATAATTAATCATTAATATAAATTTCTTTGAAGACCCCGCCCAGCCTGTCGCATCAACGCTTTTGTTTGAAAAATGTGCATGTATATGTATTCACTTCAACTTTTTTTTTTCACCTGAATTGGATCCGGATTAACGACGGTCCGGATTTTTGACGTCCGAATTATCGACGCTGTACTGTAGTATCAAAATTTAATTTAAATATCATTATCAGATCTATTTTTTGTTAATTTATATTTCATCTATTTTATAAAAAAAAAAACAAGAATGTCTAAATAAGTTGTTCTTTTTCAATAAAGTTAAATTTTATTGGTCTGTAGCTGTTTTAGGGTGTGCTTAGCTTAGTCCTTTTAGTTTGATAACAGCCTATTGTCAAAGTAGCAGGCAAGATTGCCAAGAGTAGCTACATTGGTTTAATATTCTATTTCTATTAATTTGGCTATATAATAACATAACATTTTAGCATGCATATAAATATTTAATGTACATTAATTTAATTTGTGACTAAATATACTACCTTGTAATATTTTAAATTAATAAAAAAAATTTCTAGTCATCAATGAATTAAACTTACACAAAGGAGACTTAGTTTCTTGCAAGACGTTTATTACATATCGATGGTTTGTGAAACTTCAACAGACGTTTGGGCTATGAACAATTTGAAGGTCAGGTTAATCTCAAGCTCCCATTTTAACAGAGCATCAATATTTAATAAACGCTTTTAAAAGTGGCTGATATACTGTTAAAATTGCGATTTTTATAGTACGAACTTCTGCTTTTATCATTAGAGATGATTACACACCCTAAAAGGAAGCAAGTACCAAACTTTAAAACACCATATCAAGAGTTGGATGATAAGCGTTTTACAAAGTTGTCGTCCTATTATTAAACACCCAATATCTCGCTTTTTTTTGTCAGCATAAAACCTACAGGCAATAAAAGTTTAAGGGTATATGATCGGGTAATAGAGGAGGCCAAGGTCTCAGTCAATCTAATAATTTTCAAACATTATGTTCAAATTGCTGTTTGCATTAAATTCTCATCACTAGGTTGACTTTGTGTTCAATTACTTCAAATGATTCCTGTAAGTTATAATTTTGTTATAAGTAATAAATAAGACGTAAAACGAACATATCTTGCTAATTATCCAACATTTGTTAAGATGTTTTAACGTTTTAAAGGTGTTTAACCATCTCTTAAAAATAAAAATTTTTACATTACACTACTACTAAAGTTAGTAATGTATAATTACAAGTAGTTTTTTTACAATGATTTACTTATTATGATTATTACAAATGATTAGTGTGTCCATAAGTGCACGGGCGAAAAGGGTGTAAAACAAAAAACTTAATTTGGCCATTCAACTTCAGGGCTAATCAGATTCGCTCATCTATATTCAACAGATAAATATACAGATCTATATTTGAGATACAAAATAAATTAAGAAAAGTTGTTCAGAATTAATATTTATAGAATTCAAAATTTAGGAAAATTGATCAACTTTAATTATTGTTTAATAAAATTTGCACTCTACCTTAATCTAAATTTTAAACCAAACTACATTTTTCAGGGCTTTAAAAATAAAATTATTTTGAAATGAATGTCCATTTTTTTTTATTTAAATCTATTCATGTATCCTTTCAGTGACAAACTGTATACGTATTAAAATTCTTATATTGTGCAAAAATTATAACATAAACTAGATTTTTGAAGATTTCTTAAGTTTAATGCTTAATTATTAACTACGTAAGGAAAGCATTTTGACTCAAGCAATTAAATTTCAGTTGCCTACGATTGGAAGTTTTTTTTACAAAATATCAAAATTGGGTATGTTAATCCAAAAAAGTTTCTTCAATAATTTTCATACATATAACAAATTATGGAATCAATTTAAATCAGTAATAAAAACAGGCAAATACAAATATTTTTTACTCCTTAAATGATTATTATCAAAAATGATAAAACTAAATGTTGAGTTATTTAATAAATCTATACAAAAAATAAGATATGAATACAAAAAAAAATATCAATATAAAAAATAAGATATCAATATTGAAATATGTAGTCAATTATAGAACACATAAAAATACCATATAATTTTTAAAGTACTGTGTAATTTAATAATCAGTACATATAAAATCATAGCAACAAAGAAGAAATTTTATCAACATAAACAACAACCAATGCAAAAACTTGTTTTTTTCGAAATCTGTTCATTTTATCTATATTGAACAAGAGTACCTTTTTAGTTTAATGTTTAAGCTGTCCAGAACTATTATTATAACTTTATCAAACATAATTTAAAAAAATGAAAAGTGTGAAGAAATTTTCTCTCCACTGCCAGTTAATTATAACCAAATTTTTAACAATATTGGCCATATACTTTTTTACTGTTTATATTTTTTTAATTAAAATTCGATTTCGATTCATAAAAATTAGTTTAAAGATGTGTAAATTGATTACTAAATGATTACATACTTTATGCAAGTTATCTACTTATTCTAGAAATATATTTATAAAAGTTTAAAAACAATATAATTTAGGTAAACAAAAAGCACTCAAAAAAAAAAAAAAAAAAAAAAAAAGTACTGTTACTGTAATTGTCGGTGGAATCAAAATTATGTCATTACTAATTTAGCATATTGTGTTTAAACTAGTACATCCCTGGCAAACTAAATAAGCCAAATATATTTAAATGGATCTAGCATACATCATATTCAATTAAACCAAGCACTTTAAAATTATTAAAATTCTGTTAAAAATTTTTATTCTAGGAATTTATCATGTAGTTTTAATGTGTTCTATCTGAATCCAAGATATTGGCTAGAGTGAATAAAAATGAAGCATTTGCTTTTACTTAAAAATTGGTAACAAATCGTGCTTACTTTCCAAAAAATAATTTTTTTAGCTAAAATTGGAGAATACTAATTATTTGATAAAGACTCCTTTAATTAAGTTCAAGAAATTTTATTTTTTTTTTTAATTAGCACTATTTGTAACTCAGTTTTTAAGTAAAAGCAATTTCTTAATTGTTATTCACATTTCCCACATCATGTGGGACACCCTGTATACAAATCAATTTATATTTATTTTTTAATAGACCTATTTTTATAAATAAATAAAAATATTGACAGTTTTTACAGACTAATATTTTATAACTAAACTATTCAAATTTTATTATTTGTGTACTTTTCAGATGTTTTCTAGATTTATAATTAAAAAGTACATTAATAATAGAATTTAATAGAAGTTTTAATGATAAAAATCCTTTTAATTACATAATTACAGTTACAGCTATTGGTATTTTCGCATATTCCAATTTTAACAATATTTTAATTCAAAACCTAATTATAAAGTGAATTTAAATCAATTGTATATCTTAATACAGCATGTATAATATAAAAATGTAAATCTCTAGAAGTACATCAGTTTTTAATATAAAAAATATAATTTACTTCAATTTTTTTACACAAAAAACGGGTTTTTACTTTTATTTTATTAGTAGAAATATGGACTAATAACAAAATTTAAAATAAAATTTTTAATGATAGAAACAATTTTTTTTAACAATGTGTTTTAGATCTTTTTGAAACATAATCAAATTTTAAATGACCATAAACTCATAAAAAGTTACAAATAATTTTAATTCCTTTTATAGCTCTAACTTCATAAATGAACTTTAAATTAGTCATTATAAATTATAATTAGGTTTACAATATGTAGAAGTTGTATCATACAACTTTCATATCATAGAAAAATTACACATTCAAAAATGACGTTTCAAAATCCACTCGTAGGCAACTATGTATAAGTCGAAATACCACGAGATGAGGTTGTTTTTAAACTTTGGAACGATAAATACCAAATTAGTAGATGCTCCATGTAGACTGTCATTTCCTTGTTGCGTTCCTTTGGTGGGTGTTCTTTGCAGGGCTGGAGAACCTATTATGAACAACTTATTTAGACATGTGCCAGGCGTTAGCATCTTGCCAATATATTGTTTTGTTTTGGCAAGCTGCATTAACACAAATTAATATATAAAGTATTTCTTAATACCAACCTTTGATGATTGATGCGTTGCTGATATTTAAACCATTTGCAGCCTGTTGTTGCATAGCATTCTCAATTTCTTTGTAGATAGGGTTGTTGGGATCTGCCAGGTCAAACAGAGGTTGTATGACCTCTGGATTGAAAACATGATTTTTCTGCCATAAATTGAGCACTCTGATGATTTTACTCTAAAAAATAATATAGGAAAATACGGGTTATTCTTTTTCAGAAATAAGTAGCCTAATTGGAGGACACGTAATCTCAACGAATTATTCATAAAAGTTTATAATATTTCTCTAAATCTCCCCTTTTTCGTTCTATAGCGAGATATAGTGAATTTTAAAAATACATAAAGTCCCTTGAGCTAAACATATTGACTTTAAAATAAAATCTTGCCGAGTTTATCATAATGATCAATTACTAACCATAATTTATGAAAAATTGTTGTAATCTATTTATTTTTTTATGAGATATTCTACACTAATAAAAATTATGGTTGATTTTATTACTTCCATACCATGGACTAATCATCCACAGCACTAAATACAAATTTATTTTTATTTGCATTTTATAACAATCAATAGTATCTTTATAATTTTATCCATAATTTTATAAGAAATAAAAAAATCACAAAAATTGTTAAATTGATTTTATCAACTATCTTTTATTACCCAGTTACACTAAAGGGGGTAGCAAAATACATAATATTTGATAATTCACTTTACTCACTGGAATGGAATAATTTGTCATGATTTGTTTATTTCTATTTATGGTACTTTTTCATTAATTTTTATTAATTTTCATTAATTTTTATGGATTTTTATTAATTATTATTAATTTTAAATAATTTTCATTAATTTTTATTAATTTTTATTTATTTTTATTCATTTTTATTCATTTTAATTTATTTTTATTCATTTTAATGACATTTTTATTTATTTTTTATTGTTTATTAATTTTTATGGATTTTTATTAATTTTTTATTTTTATTCATTTTAATGACATTTTTATTAATCTTTATTAATTTTAATTAATTTTTATTAATTTTTAATAATTTTTAATAATTTTTAATAATTTTTAATAATTTTTATTAATGTTTCTTAATTTTTATGGATTTTTATTAATGTTTATTAATTTTTATAAATTTTTATTAATTTTTATTTATTTTTATTTATTTTTTATTGTTTATTATTTTTTATTAATTTTTATTATTTTTATTAATTTTTATTAATTTTTATTAATTTTTATTAATTTTTGTTAATTTTATTAATTTTTATTAATCTTTATTAATTTCTATTAATATTTATTAATTTTTAATAATCTTTAATAATTTTTATTAATTTTTATTAATTTTTATTAAATTTTATTAAATTTTATTAAATTTTATTAATTTTTATTAATTTTTATTAATTTTTATTAATTTTTATTAATTTTTATTAATTTTTATTAATTTTTATTAATTTTTATTAATTTTTATTAATTTTTATTAATTTTTATTAATTTTTATTAATTTTTATTAATTTTTATTAATTTTTATTAATTTTTATTAATTTTTATTAATTTTTATTAATTTTTATTAATTTTTATTAATTTTTATTAATTTTTATTAATTTTTATTAATTTTTAATAATTATTTTTGTTTAATTTTAATTTATTTTTATGATACTACCATACAAAAATCTAAAAAATCCAAAAACCATGAAAAATCATTTTTGATTTTTAATCAGTAGCTGCAATTCAAATTTTTATGTTTCAAACTCTAAATAACAAAAAAATATATACATACTATTTTCACCCCCCATTTCACCCCTTAAAATGTTAAAATACAAAAACCCTGAAACATTTCATTATTTATTTATGATGAGAACCTACAATTCCAATTTTCAAGTTCCTACCTTTAAAAAAATCGATATTTCTAAATAAACTTTCACCCCCCCCTTTCCCCCCTTAAATGTTAAAAAATCGATATTTCTAAATAAACTTTCACACTTTCACCCCCTTAAAATGTGAAAAATCCAAAAAATCCAAAAACCCTAAAACACGTCATTATTCCTATTTTCATGTTTCTAACTTCTAAGAGAACAGAAAAATATATACTCCCATTCAAACTATCTAACCCCCCTCTGTAAGATGTAAAAATTTAAAAACCCTAAAACACGTCATTATTTATTTATGCTCAGTAGCTGTAATTCCAATGTTCATTTTTCTAACTTCAAAGAGAACAAAAAAAAAATCGATACTCTCATATAAACTTTCACCCATTTGCCCCCCTTAAAATGTGAAAATTCAAAACCCTAAAACACGTCATTATTTATTTATTTATGCTTAGTAGCTGTAATTCAAATTTTCATGTTCCTAACTTCAAAGAACAAAGACTTTCATAAAAAGTTCCCTCCCCCATTTACCCCCTTAAAATTGAAATTTTCAAAAATCCTTTCTTAGCGAATGCTTATGTTATAAAATAAACCTATGTTCCAAATTTCAGCTTTCTAGACTCAGTAATTTTGGTTGTATGTTAATAGGTCAGTCAGTCAGAACAAACAATTTTATATACAGGGTGTCCCGAAATTAGACAGTCATATTTTAACAGCCTAATCTACATCCTAAAATAGGAGTAAAAGTTCATGTAAATATAGCTCCGAAAACGTTTCATTTTCGAGATACAGGTTGTTACCAGTGAAGTGCTGATAGCACATTTTTGTAAATATTTTCTAAAATTTCTTTAGTCACCGGTTTTCCAAAGTTAAAAAAAAAGAAAAATTTCTGATTCCACACGCCTACTAATTATTTTTTACACATTCGAATAAGATAACATCACTTATCATGAAATTTTCAAATGCCTTTCTCTTGAAAATGGTGCATCCTAGCAAGATGCAACAAAAATTGCTTTATTATAAAAAAAATATTGGTTTTCCAAATTTTATAGTAAAAAATGTTAAAAACTTTTAAAAAAACTTAGGGCAATTTTACCCTAAGCCCCCACCTATGAAGATGATCAAAAACTGGGGTTTAGTCCATTAAATAGAACGTAAAAAGGTAAGCATTAGAAGCAAATTTCACTTAGTTATCTTTAAACATTTAGAAAATATTTACAAAAGTGTGTCATCAAGACTTCACTTTTAACACCCTGTATCTCGGAAAAGAAACGTTTTCGGACCTATGTTTATATGAACTTTTACTTCCATTTTAGGATGTAGATTACGCTGTTAAAATATGACCGTCTAATTTCGGGACACCCTGTATATATAGAAGCTAGATTGGTTTTTAAGATATTCGCATTCTTTGTTTATTATTATTATTATTTTGAATATCAGAAATGAATTATTTTTGACTTATTGTTAATGACAAGAAAACAAAATGTTTTTATTCAGTTAGGAATTGCAAACAAAATGGCTACTAGTGGGTTTTGACAGGTTATGATATGGCAATTTTATGGTAACCCTGTAGGCCTGGTGATTTGACAAGGTCAATGAAATAGATAGTTACATAGATTGATCATTCATATTTTTCAAAATAAACATAAACTTATGCATTGAAGTAAAATGTAGGTAATTTATTGTTTTACTATATTCAAAGGCTTAATATTGGTTTGTAAACAAATTTTTGCAAAATCGATTCTGATTAATGAGCACTTGCGTGGCAATATGGCCGCACGTAAACGACCCGCTTTGAGCAATCTATATAACTATTATATGTATCATTGACCCTGTCATTGACAACAGGCTCACAGGGTTGCCATATCTGAATGTCAGTTTCCACTTGTCAGCAGTTTGACAGGTCGTTGGAATGCCTAATTGTTAGAACCGCCATCCAACATTTCAAAGTGTTGCCAATCGACATGTAGGCAGTGGTGGAGAACATAGTGCAAATTTCGCATGTGTACTCGTGAATAACTATTAATAAACAGTTCAACGAACTGCTAAAATATGACATTATATTAAATAATTAAGTATATGTGAAAATAAAATTAATATGATGGAAATACTGAACTGTATGAAAAATTGTATTTTAACTAGAAGTAGAATTTCGTCAATTTAACCTTTGAATTTATTAATTTTAATTAAAACAATATTTTAATTTATAAGCCCATTACCTAGATCTTTACATGCGAGATAATGGGTGTGTATCATATGTTTTATGATATACTGCAATCTACTACATATTACAACCTAAAAGCAAATAAAATCTTATCATTTTGACACCATCATTACAAGTACCTGAAGTGACTTAAAATAATGACAGTTCAGTTGTAACATGTATTGTTTTCAATAAAAATGAAAGATTGTTGTTATGGTTTTATTAAGAGATCCGTTAAAATGTTTACTGGGCTAGCCTGTTTTGACTCCCTTAACTATAAACAGAGGTTGGTTACCACAGTATAACATTGCAGTGTATCATAAACATTTTAAACAAAAGGACTTTTTTATGGTTTTGGATAGTTGAAAAAGTTGAAACATAATTTAAATAAGAAAAAAATATGAGATGAAAAAATACTTTCAATGGTGAATTAGAACCCCCACATTTTTAAGGTTTAATGGTCAAACCAACCACAAGAAACATGTGAATTAAATTTGGGAATCAACCCCCTAGAAACATGAGAAATAAATGTTGGCGTTATCTAATAAAATAATGTTGTCAGTCCTATTTTTAACTGTTTTGGCCATTAAAACCTAAAAAATATCAAGAATTGAAACATGAATGTTATGGGTGGTTTGACAAGAAGTTGATTTAAGTTCACCCTGTAAAAGGTTCTTTCGTTTCATTTATACACCTTTTTTTTAATTAGGACACCCAATAGAGTCAAAAGCCTAAAAGATTTAAAAAGTATTTCTTTAATAGTTTTTGTAATTTTGAATATGTATGCACCACAAAGAAAATAAACCATCCCCACCCATGGAATGTGATTCATAAAGTGCCTAGACTCAGCTTTGGTAATAAAGAGGTACTTATGTACCAGTTGTTATAATGACTGTGTGAATAAGTGTTAGAAAAATTAACAATGTATTAATTCTTACATAAATACAAAACAGTGAATTATTTCCAGGAAAATGTTTTAAAAAATCTTTAAAACATCAGAATTTTTAATTAAAGAAGTAAGCGATAACACCTTTTGAACTTATTAATCAACTGTCATGTATTTCCCCTGCCTTCAATCTGTATTATGTGGCACATTATAGAAAAGGTAGTACATGAATATCCCAGACCTTCATCCTAACCCAACTCTGGGGAAATTGTTTTTATGTATTCCAACTTGTGACAAATATGAAAGTTAATTTTATTACTACTTCAATGCCCTACATAATATCTCCTATCAAAATTAAAAAGGAACTTAAATAATTGATTAACATTGCAGGGTGCTACAACTTAAATTTGACTTTCATTGTAAAAGGTTGATGAATATTGATTATAAAAATATCCATCTTGTTAAAGAGCATAAGGATATTTAAATAGAATAAACTATCTTAGGATTTCTCATATTTTAGCATTAGCATTATTAAATTTGTCTGAAAGGAAGACTTTAAAATTATTAAATAGATATGGATGGTATTTAAATGATTATTATTTAAACTAGGTCAAAAAGCAAATGATTATCAGTTAAATAAATATGGATGATTATTTGATAACAATCTTTTTCAAAGTATTTTTTACAAATATTAATTTAGGCCTAGTTTTATTGACTGCTTATTGACAAAATAAGTTGGAATAAAATGTATGAATAGTATATTATTTTTAGAAAACTTTAAACCTGCTCACATTTAATATTTTTTTAATGAATGAAGTTCTTTAAAACAATAGTTTTTTAGAATATTTAAAAGTATCTAAATATTGAAATGTTAACATTTAGTTCCATTACGTAAATTATTAAACCTTGTTTTGATAAAAGGATTCTAGCTAATTTACATTTTTAATCCTTTGCACTCCAAGCATTTTTAATATTACTGACCAGCTAGTTTGTTTTCTCATCAATCATTCTGTGAGACACTATAATACCTGAGGTATATTCAGAGGGGTGCATTTGCACAAATACTGCAGCAATCACCTTAACAGTTACAATAGCTATTACATCATCTTTGGTAGTAAGTGGAGTAGAAGTTAGAAAAATTGTAATATTTGTGTGTAGAAACACAGCCTCATTAGTCCAGTATCCGTAACTAAAGTCGACTTCCACCCATCTGTTTAATGGATGAAAGTGGTTTTTTTTATTAAATAAAATGTTTTTAAATATACTGTAAATGGGTTGCCTATGAAAATACAGTCACAGCCATTTTTTACTTTCCTTTCTGTGTACAGCTAAGGAAAGTATGGGAATCATGATAAAAGTTGCTTACAATGTCATTCTCTATTATTTTGTCCCTATACATGATTTTCCTCAAATGGACCTAATTCAAGATATTTGAGGAAAAGTGCAAATTTCGAATATAAATCAAAAACGGATGAAGAGAAAAACAGCAAATTTTAAATTTAAGCTTTAATCCATCCAGCGGTGAGCTGATTAATGTTTGGGCATAGTAAAAGCATCAGGGTAGTACTTTACAGGGTCATTTTTTTTTTTAGAAAATAAATAGTCTGGACTGTATTTTCTTAGGCAGCCCATATACGGTATATTTATAAACATATTTTATTTAATAAAAAGAAACTTTTATCCATTAAACAGATGGGTGAGGGTCGACCTTACTTCAGATCTTATACCATATCTTATCTGAAACTAAATATTTCTTTCTTATATATTTTTACTTTACAAGAGGGTTTGTTAAAAAGTTTTTATTTTTTCTTAAGCAACACAGCATTTTCGAAATATTGAAGAATCTTGAGCAGTACTGACAGAGGACAATTATATTGCTGTAGTTAGCTAGTTTAGATAAGTTTTATGAGCACTGAAGAGATTAAACTAATATTTCTACATTCAATGTTTTTGGAATTTTTCAAAGTAGATGGAACTTCTGATATGACAAAAATAGCATAAGTATGAATATTTTATTATAGATAAACAGAGCTCAGAGGTAATACCACTATGGTTGAGGTTGGCAGAGATTTTCCTACCATTTCTACACAGGAGTAGGCAATTTCATAAATTTTCTATTCTTGTCTCCAGTACAAAACTAACAAAGTTATATGATGAAAAACTAAGCAAACAAGTGCAAAGGATTAATAACTTTGTTATCAAATTGCAGATACTGTTACATAACAACTTTTAAACAATCCTCACTTTATCTTCAGCAGGACACTTAAAGAGGTTTACAAAAGTTTGTTGCATATTTTTCGCAAATCGGGGAGCAAACACGTCCTTATCAGATCCAAACTGATGTCTTGATTGCCGCACGATAGAGTCTATCACGTATAAACCAGGCACTTTGTATTCAGGTTTACACTTTAGTATAAACTTTTCCACACTTTGCACTACATGTTTATAGAATTTTATAGCTTTTATAGCACCTCTTGTTAGGGCGGTCATCTTGGCTTTCGAAATAGGAGGTTTCACCTCATATAGAGATGAAAGCTGAAACAAATTAAAGAAACGTTAAAAACATCAAAAATAGTTAACATTAGTGGAAAAAATTAAGCCGCTTGTGTAAAATTAAACTCTATAAGTAAGCGTCTCTCACTAATTATTTCATGATAAAAATATGTAGTTACCTCCATATTAAACGATTTCACAGCATCCATAGTGAAAGTACTATATACGTTTCTGGCTGGTTAACATTAAAAAGATAATTTGTACATTAAAATCATAGTTATTCCTGAATTTTAGTGGCATTTACAACTACAACGCCATTTTATTTAGCATAACTTGACAAGATGACAAGACAAAAGACAAGACGACAACCGTTTCCGATTTGATGACGTAGGCAATCACTAAAGGTGATTCCCCATAAAGCATTTTACATAAACGTGTTTTGGCAACTTAATATTTCATTGGCTACCGTTTATCACAAAGCCGAAACGTCGTTTCGCGATTCAAGCAAAATTATACGCCCTCTGAAGGAAATTTGTAAAAGGTGTTCAGTGTTGCCATGAGTAGCGAAATTTCTCTACTTCATCGGACTTTTAGCACTTGAGAAGTGGAAAGAGTCGGAAAAACTTTATTTTAGAAGCGAAACTTGTGTTTAGCAATATGTAATCATACTCTTTAGTATTTAAGGATTTTTATAAAACCGATTAATTAATATTAATTTTTCTAAATTTCAGTTCATCTATCAATTTTGTTTTAAAACAGTTCATCAGTTGCTGGCAACTTTGGACTTCTTGATAGGTTATAATATGGCAACACTGTAAGCCTGGTGGTTTGTAAGAGTCAATGCTATAGACAGTTATATAGATTGATCATTCATGGTTTTAAAAATAAACATAAGCTTATGCCTTAAAGTAAAAATGTAGGCAATTATTTTTAAATATTCGAAGGCTGAAAATTGGTTTTAAAACACATTTTTGCTAAACCGATTCAAATTAGCCAGGCACTATGGTCGCTCGCCAACGACCCGCTTTGAGTAATCTATATAACTATATAGGTATCATTGACCCTGTTAATGATAACATGCCCACAGGGTTGCCATATCTAAACTGAAATTAAATAAATGGATAGCTGTATAATAAGAAGAAAAACCTTTATTTTTGTAATAATAATATAGTACTACTGGAAATAATAGACATCGGAAAATTAAAAGGTTTTAATTAACTTAAATGTTTAGCAAGGATTACATGTCTGCCTTGGATTACTGTATGTGGCTGAAATGCAATTTTGTGACTTATTGATAGGAAACCAGTTTTAATCATTAACTTCTATGGGTTCTTTCTAACTAAAAATGAAGAAAATATAAATTATAATCGCAAATATACCAATTATTTTTGTTAATGCGTTTTGATTCTACGTATAAAGATCTCTGCCCACTACAGACCATAACAGAAACGTGTCAGGCACGAAAAAAAGCACTCCGGTCACTATACTGGGCCCACTGCAGCGAACTAAGAGCGTTTTTTCCTCACATACAACATAGCTTGTAATGGACGGTGCGTGTCGTTACCTGCAAAATATTATCGCCGTGAAATTGTTGACGGTTCTGTCATGGCACGTTACGATGTTGGTCGGTGACGGAACGGTCTAGTGGGCGTTGTCGCATATCAAAACATGCAAAGAATATTTGTTTGTATGTGTCGATACGGTTACGGTCCTAGTATGGTAAGGTGTAATGGGCAGAGACCTTAATGGTAAATGTTTTTATTTTGACATTATTTGACCTTTTATTCAATGACAACTTATTAGGCTTAGGCAACATCTCATACATTTTTTCGTAAATACCTGCCTGTTATATTATTGATTTTTATTGATTATACTACTTTTTTTAGCTGAAGTAATAAAAATATATATAATAATGAAATTTTTTCACTTGTTTTACAAATACATATACTCTTAGTAAAATCAACATATATTTTTTAATTACGAATTCTATTAAAACTTGTATTGCCAGTATACGAAAATATCGTCCATGATGAGTTCATAAAATAGTTGGCGCTGCTATCATTCACGGAGCGAATAATGAATGAAAATAGGCTGACTATGCATGATGAGCGTACATCGAAAAATAATCAGAAAAAACAAAAAGAAATTATATTTTCTGTTATCATGTTTTTGGTAGTGAAAAAAGAAATTTAAAATTTGCGTTTTTCTAGCGTTTTTTTTTTGTGTTTATCGACGTGTTTGAGTGAGTTTTTCTGTTTTTGTGTTTTTATAATTTTTTTTATGTATGCATGGCTGCGTCTTATTGTTCATATTTTTGTTTTATATCACACCTTCTGTTTTTAAAAATGTGTTTTAAGTTTCTTGTTTTCTTTTTATTTCAGTTTTTGTCTTTTTTGTTGGGTAATTTGTATTGCTTTTATTTTTCATTTTCTTTGTTTTTCAACAAATAAACATTCTAATTTTTTTTAAAAATGTTGCCCCTCCCTATAGAATTGTATAACGACGCCCATGCAGATGAGTCACCCTTAAATAAAAATTGTTATAGTATAGCTAATGTTAAGTTGGATATCAAGTATTTTGTACTAGACGTGGCAAGAGGATATTTTGTACGTTGTTTATTATGGGCGTCAAATTAATATATTCATTGATACAATTGTTTTGTACCCCCGTTAAATCCTTCAGTTTATCCCTTCCCATACCTCACATCATATGTCTCTTCACTCCTGATCTACAACTTGACCGTATCGACTATGGTATCGATGTCGGCGTCACGAATATTATATTTTATCAGTGAATAGTTACATCTCTTGTTATCTGAGTATCCTCCATGTTAAAAATGCAAACATTGAACCTTCTGAAAGTTGTTACCTGGATCAAAAAGTTGATTTGTACATATCGCTGGTAGGCAAGAATAACGGCGCAATTAAAAATAGTTGATTTTACAGTATGATTTTTAATTTGTTTTATTGCATATTTCAAAATATAATTTAATCTTAGGTTAACTTTACTAATTAAATTATATATCATTAAAATACATAAAAATATTTAAAAACATTTTACGAAAAAGTACATATAAGCATCACAAACAGGTCCCCTTCAGATATCGGTCATTATTCTTGAGATTATGAACTATAAAAAAGCAACTTGTCATCGTCATTTAAATTTAAAATAATTAGGCCTCACGAAACGCAAGTAAAATATATGCATTATTTTATAAAAAAATAAGACCAAATTATACTTCTAAAATAAAATACGAAGAAGTGTTCGATAAAAGTCAATATCCTTAAAAAAAAGCACTAAGAGTCGTGTTTTCGTAAATAGAGCTTTGACATCGATGGTGTAACTAAAATGAGCCAATATTCGTGATACCATTAGATTTGTATGTCTCAAATGATTAATGAAGCTATCTCTATTTAGCGAACATAAATTCGGCTTTCCGTCATTTTTCCTGATAAAATATAAGTTAAGTCTGTTCATTCCGTATACTTAGTTGAATTTTGAAGAAAAACTAGCGATATGTGTAGGGCATATACTTATCATTAGTTAACTGTATATTAGTCTAAAAAAAATCTTCATTGTGGTTTAAGTGGTGAAAAAAAAATATATTAGGTTTGTTCATATTTATTTATTCGTTTAGAATACTTATCTGATCGCAATCATTCAAGCGTACAAAAATATATTATTAACACATTTACACCATGTTTAATTAAATTACAATCTTAATACTAATAAATATATGAAAATTTAAAACAGTGTTAGGTTTTCATCTTTTAACTATAGGATAATAGAAATTAAAAAAGTGCAAAAAAGTTTGCCATAAAACTTTATCACTATATATATTTAAAAAAATACCAGTATAATAGGAGGGTTTTATTCTTAACTTTCTGTATCTGTATACAAGCATTTGTTAGGAAATGTATTGTGGCACTAGCGAGAGCAATGTCGGATTACTATAGAGAGAAAAATTTTTCACTGGAGTAAAGGAAGCTGTCTATAAAATAACAAACATAATGTGAACAAAAAATAATTGATATGAAATTTCCAATAATTTTAAAGATACAAGATTGTTATGGATGGCGTTCATGAGAAATTTCTTTACAACTTCTCTAAACTTTTAATACAACTGCGAATAAAAATAAATTTTAAAATAATATATTGCATAGAACTTTTCACAATTTTATTTTTGTTCAAATATGTAAATAAATATCGTTTTTATCTTTTTAAATTATTATAGACAGTTTTCTAGTACTTGAGTGATTATTATGTTTTAAAACTTATTTAAATATAAGTGTAACTATTTTTCTAATCAAGATTTATCTTAAAATATGGAGAGCTAAAAACAGTCTGTCTTTGTTTTTGCTTAAATATATTAGATACAGGATGTATGAAAAAGTACTCTTAAAATTCTATTGCATTGTATATAAGGAACTAGGTAATTTCTTAACAACATACTATATTAAATGTTCAGTTGCAAGTAAGCCAAATAAATACACACTGATTAACTAATTGCACGGTTTGTGTAATGAAAATCATTTTAAATATATCCAGTTAGTTAATTAATGTGTAAAATATTTTTGCTTGTCTTACAACTAAACATAAAACTACCAATACGGTTGTGAAAAAGGCAGAATACAGACTGTCAACCAAAGTCTAACCACTTTATATTATTATAAATTGAATTTCCGACTGTTATAACGTAATATTTTAATTTAATTTAAATCCTTGTAATCGATAGTCAATTTTACAAAAATGTAAATATGAGATACATAATTTAGCAGATCCCAGCCCAGTTGACAGAATCATAATAATAAGTAATAAAACACAAAGCAGCAACATTGCTCGTAGTGGGCAAATTATGCTACATATGATTCAACTGGAAACATTATTCTTTTTTTAAAATATTGTATTACACTATTTTCTTTTTTCTTTTCATCTCATAAATTTTAATAGTTTTTAGACTGATTGCTGAAAGTCTGCTTGCAACTATTATCCCACAGTTCAAGTGACTTTTGCGGAACTTTACACTTTTTTAGGTGTTACTGGAAAATATTAACATTAAGAACAAAACCAATAAAGGTAAATATTAAACAATTGACATTGTAATTAAGACTCTTCATAAAACCTTTGTTGGAAATACTATTTTTATACCATTGAATTTTTAGTCAATGCCTCAGGTAATATGAATTCGTTGTATCTATTCATATGACACATCATGACAATTTGGCCAAAATATTTAGAGAACAGAAAAATTCCAAAGAGACAAAACGACAGGAAGCATAATGTACGAAATACTAACTAATAGATTTAAATACATATATAAATTGCAAAAATGTTTTATAAGGTAATA